TCAAGAGTGATCCTCTTTGTTCAATGCTTTACTAGTATATTTAGAAATATTAATCAAGAGTGCATTGCCATTAATAAATTACAACACTTGTGTAAAGGCCCTAAATCTATATTCACTTATTTCAAATGGTTGCTAATTAATATTTCATGAGCCGATGTAGCTTTCAAGGAACATGTTTGCCTTTGCCTTTATGAGGATATCAAAGATTTTATTCTTTTTCATCTATCCAACATTTATGTGCTAACATCTCATCTTTATTGATTTTATTATTCACTATGATAATCTATTTTAAGAATAGATTGGAATTAGTACATAATTATGGTAAAGCACAATTCTAATGGAAATTAGAGTCATGTGTTGATGGTATCTTTTCGATGTTGAACAATGACATTAGATTGAAAATCACTTTTACATGTATTATAGAGATTTAGATCTTGTCTTCACACTCACCCTTAAGCTTATGCAATGGATGTTATTCTTCTTCTCATCTTGGCTCAATTCCTTTTTCATGGATTTTCATACCTTTTTACATCACCAATTATTTTCAATCCATTACATTTAGTTTCTCTTTTTAAGTTTTATGTAACACTTATGCTAATACAAACTTCATTAATTGGGAGTTTGCACTTTTTCATAGCATTCTCTTTTGATTAGCATAATGTCTAACTTATGCTAAAGTGATGGACAATTGACAAACCTTTTTCATGTTTATCACACATGAGATTGAGTTTTGGTGGAGGATAAAGTGTTTGAAACTCATTACAACATCTCCTTCATCTCCCTTTTATCATTCTTGGTTTTTCTTAATTTGAACTGGTAAACCTAAAAGTGGATTGGAAGTGGCATAATGTTGATCAGACAATTTTTCCTTTTCTAATATTAAATTCTCACAATTTTCTTGTATAAAGTCTAAGATATTGGCTGTCATGATCTTAATTTTATCTTTACAATTGCCTTTATTTAATATCAATTTTATTTATTGAAACTAAACCCAAGGATTAATTTATTATTTTAGTTCTTAATTAATTAGCAGAGGAAATTTATTTCTTTGTCATGTTATATTACTTTAATAAAACCTTCCACAAAATTTCAACGACACCTATTGATTCCGGTAATAATATTATTAATATATGCCTGCTTTTCTTATTATTTATTCATTTAGATTTTAATCAATTACAAACATTCGAAAAAACTAGACCTAAATATACTGAAGTAAAAGTGATTCGCCTACAAATTCTTCCTGGACGACTGGAGTGATCTTGTCTCCCCCATGGCTCTTTAAAGTTCTCTTATTTCCACCGGTGGGTGATAGCGATACGTCCCTTACCTTGCCACCTTGTGTCCATTTTCCCTTGCACGACCTACAAGCGTAGCGCGGCTGGTCACGCTTGCCAGTACTCTTCTCGTTGTTGTAGTAATCGAACCGCGTGTTGTAAGATTGGCACCTTGGGCACTGGTACACGTTGTCCGGAAGGTCGTGGTGCTCCCACACGCCATACAATTTTGATCCCTCACCTCCTCGGCCGTGAGCTTGCAAGCCCTCTCGCTTCTCAGTCGACGCTTCTTTGTCAGCACCATGATACCATCGTCTTCTCTACTTCTCTTGCTTCCTCTCGCCATAGCTCGTACGATCCTAAAGGACTTGACCTTATTTATTTATATATGCACTAAAGTAAAGGCTGGGTTAGCTTAAACAGCGTAGATTCCCACTAATCCTGTGCGGTTTAAGGTAAAAATAGTCGAAAGATGCGGGCAAGAAGAAGAGAGTCTGTCGAGAAGCCAGGCATGCGCAAGTATTCCCATCACAATGTATGGCAAATGGTTTGGCTGTAAATACAATCAAGGCGCTAGAGGTTGATGATAGAAAACTGGTGAAGCTCAAGATCTATCTATAGGCATTTCCATGGGTTTCTGTGAGCTCCTTCGTCGTCGGCTTACTGATGGACAGGAAACTATTTGAGAAAGAGGAGAAAGAAAAAGTATATATTTTTTCTTATCTTTGCGGCTTTTCATATATTTGACATAAAGATTGAAATATAATACTATGTAGGTTTCTATTCATCAAACAAATCTGGAAACCCTAGGATCCAACTATAAATTCTTTTGACAAAAATTTCCATGAATCAGCAAGCCTGTATTTCTGGCAGGTCTGCCAGAAATCCCTCAATATCAAGAAACACATCATTGAATTCTTGAGGTTGCCCCCAGCAATTGGTTTGCACATCTCCACCTTGAACCCCACCAACAAACTCCTGACTAACTTGATCAGCAAACACTCCATCGCCAAGCTCGCTAGCTTGAGCAAACACTTCTTGCACACAATCACCGAAAGGTCCTTGACCCAAGGCTGGCAGAAGCTCCCAACAACTGTTTTGATCAAAAGCCTCGTGAGATATTGGTTGGGCACAATCACCCAGACCATGACCTTGCTCCCAATGAGTAGTTTGATCAAAACCCACAACACAATCACCCATAACTTGAGATGATTCGCCTACAAATTCTTCCTGGACGACTGGAGTGATCTTGTCTCCCCCATGGCTCTTTAAAGTTCTCTTATTTCCACCGGTGGGCGATAGCGATACGTCCCTTACCTTGCCACCTTGTGTCCATTTTCCCTTGCACGACCTACAAGCGTAGCGCTGCTGGTCACGCTTTCCAGTACTCTTCTCGTTGTTGTAGTAATCGAACCGCGTGTTGTAAGATTGGCACCTTGGGCACTGGTACACGTTGTCCGGAAGGTCGTGGTGCTCCCACACGCCGTACAAGTTTTGATCCCTCACCTCCTCGGCCGTGAGCTTGCAAGCCCTCTCGCTTCTCAGTCGACGCTTCTTTGTCAGCACCATGATACCATCGTCTTCTCTACTTCTCTTGCTTCCTCTCGCCATAGATCCTAAAGGACTTGACCTTATTTATTTATATATGCACTAAAGTAAAGGCTGGGTTAGCTTAAACAGCGTAGATTCCCACTAATCCTGTGCGGTTTAAGGTAAGAATATCGGTCCGGAGCGCTGAAAGATGGAAGGAGCGATCAAGGTATGCAGCATCCACATCGCAGAGGGCAAGAAGGAAAGAGTCTGTTGATAAGCCATCGTAAAACGGCTGTATTCCAGGACGTACTTACCGGAGGACCTGACTCAGCGGCCATTAACACAGAGGGGCACTCTCGGAGCTCATAAAAATCCATCCTGCATGGCCAAAGCACAAGATGAGATCGATCTAATATTTGACGGTAGAGAAGTAAACGAAGATGATCTTTCCAAACTAAAATACCTCAAAGCCGCGGTCAAGGAGAGCATTCCGCTTGCATCCGCCGGCTTCTCTAATGGCTCCCCACGAATCACTCCAAGACTGCGAGGTAAACGGCTTCACCATCCCTGCGAAAACAAGAGTGCTGATTAACATCTGGTCGATCGCTCGAGATCCAAGGTGGTGGGGTGAGTCTGCAGGGATTTTTAATCCTGAGAGGTATGGGAAGCACTTTGAGCTTCTATGGATCCGGGAAAAGAATGTGTCCCGTGATGAACTTGGGACGGACAACGGTGGAAATCACTCTGGCTAGGCATTTAAGTGGGAGGTGAGCGTAGGTAACTCTACGGTCTTTATCAAGGCTATGTGATTTTTCTTCGAGCGCGAAACAAATGAATGCCAGCCGTAGGTTCTAGGGCTCTTGGCAAAGGTCCATCGAACGGCTGGGTTTTTGCGCTTTTTTCTTCCATGTGGCTTCCACTTATAGCATTTACAACTTTATTTGCATTTAGGAAGGTGATAAGTGCAAAATAACATTTTTTATATTAGTTATGGCTACTTCAATAGCATGAAAAAAATGAGAGCTTTATATGCTGAGGCGCTTGAGGAATTGTGTCGAAGGCTGAATACAAACTTGCCATACCCATCTGAACAATTATAAAGTAGATTTAATGCAAAATATCAACTCCCCTCTTATTGAAAACATCCTTAAATTCACTTGGAGGGAAGTTGCTAACATTCCTTTTATGGGCATAAAATACATTTATTAATTATTGAGAATGTAAAATAAAACCTTTGAAAATATTCTTTATGATAAATAATATTAACCCTTTCACAAGATCAATAATACTATGCAGCAGAGTGAAATTTCTATGTGGTATAGTCTTGATGCACCCCAAGTGGAGATATTGCCATGAAACCCCACCAAGGCAAGTGAGCAACTCTTTGTTTGATTTGTTTGCGACAGGCCCATGGCATAGAAGTATCTATGAAAGTGTATTGGATCATCGAAAAGGAAAAGAACTATATGACTGTCACGATGAATGAAGATGACCTTGAGTGACCTTAGAGGCAGTGGGAGGACTCTGACTCTCCAGCCATGTATGCGTTGCTTATCCCTAATAAAATTTTACCCTTTGTTATTTCTTTGCTAATAACGGTTTCCTGATGGAGGAGGTCGGTCGTGTCAAAGGAGGGAACACAAAATCCATGAATCGGAAATTATCTGCAAGCTCTAGGAAAAATCCGGAGTGTTTTCAAGCTGGGGTGGGACATAGAACCCTTCCGAGTTTGCCAAGGCCTGAATTCGATCTTGCCTGTGAAAAGAGCTACTTAGTGACTTTAGAAACATAACGGAAGTACCTGTTTGGAGCCAATGTTGAGCTTCGTCCAGGGAACCTTTGTACAGCAAGTCTGCAGACTTGATCTGCTTCGAGTTCGAGTTGCACACGTCAGAAGAGAAAATAAGCATAGCACAATAAAGATCCAACAATCTTTACCAGCTTTCCAATGTACAGCAGAAAAATCATGGAGTAGAGATCATCAGAAAGCTCCAATTTTGCCAACATTGTCGCACGGCCAATGTTATAGGATGACCTACGTCGGGAACTTTCCCTGGATTCGAGCAGTATGTTTCCTTCTCGAAATCTATAAGTTTCCTCTATATAGCTCTCGAAAGGTTTTGATGGTTTTAGCATCTCTTCAATTCTTCTTTCAGAGCTCCACATAGCCCGCTTCAGAAAAATCATTTTCGAATATGGCGTTAGGGCTTTCTTATATTTTAGCAATGAGTTATGCATCTCTAAGTTGAAAAAATTCATTGTCAAATGAAATATTGTCTATAACCCTATAAACAAAATTCGATGCTTTCCTTTGTACTTGAATCTGGGTTTCTTGGAGCTTGAGAGCAGATTTTATTTTTTTCTTTGTTGCCAAAAATTTCATCACGCCCGTTAGTTTGTTCTACACATTACTTGTTTCGCCAGATTCCCAGTTTTGATACAGGAGTGCTGCTGCTGCTCGGGCAGCTGCGGAGGAGCTGTATTTCTTACGAAGAGAAGCCAGCAGTGCTTCGTGAGATTCCTGTGAAAGTTGAATTTTTATAGGATTTAATTGCCTAGCAAGAAAAAATGAGTACCTTGAGCACGCGAACTTCTTCCTCGAGAGCAGTGGCAGCTTCTTTCTGCGGGCTTAGTGTGAGAAGGATTCGTATGTGATAACCGCAGCTTTTACCTGTCTCCTGATCTTTACTTCCAGCTCGAGGCTGCGCTTTCTCTCCTGGACCAGCGCCTGGATCGCGGCCTTACGGTTATATTCTGCAGCTTGGACACTTTGTCGAAGGTCTTCAATTCGTTTCCTCAAGTCAAGCTGGAGATTAAGAAGAAACATTTCATATGAGAAAAAGAAAGAGAATCTCAAACCTCATCTTTGTCATTCCAGTTACGTTGAACGTGAGTTTCACCCGCCTGTTCCTTGATAGCCTCTTCGGCAGACGTCTTTTTCGAGTTCTGAAAGAGCGGCCTCGCATTGTGATCGTTTGTTCTAGAAAGGAAATTTCGAATCCTCGACAGTCTGTTCGCGTCAGCTAGCGTGCTGCTTTTGACACCTTGACCACCAGTATTGCGAGGGGCAAGAGAGATCTTTCTTCTGCTACCCGGCTCCAGTTTGCTGTTGTTAGAACCACCCCTGATTACTTCGCCATCATGTATAACCAGCCTTTCGAACACGGGAAAGTCGGCCTCTTCGGCCTTGAAGTTCTTGCTGGGCCGGAGTAATGCTTCATCCAGTTTTCTTTTCCCGTTCGACGACCTGCTCTCCTTGAACCACTCTGACCTCTGTATTCTCGATTTAACGCCACTTTCCGGGGATCTACGTCCAAAAGGAACGAATTCCCTGAGCTTGAGCATGCCAACGATGACCACCAGCGCGAGCACACCCAGAAAAACATTTGTTGGAAGTGATTTCGATGCTGGAACAATCTTCCATTGAGCAGCTCCTACAACACAAGAGTATTAATCGAAAGATATAAAACCCAAACGTCCTTTAAGCGTACCTACCTTGAAGTGCTAGTGACTGCAAATCGCGAATTTTCTTTAGCAAGTGGACGTCCTACATGATTTTCTTTCATCAGTCCAAGAGCCCAAAAACAAAGAAAAAGAAAGATCAAAGTACCTGTCCCTCGTCCTTCCTAGAGATCCGTCCAGTCCCATTTATCGTGAAAGAAGAAGGCGCGGAAACGTCGCGAAGATTTCCCCGGCGACGAGACGAGGCCAAAGAATTGCTTCTCGGGTTCCTGATCTCTAGCCCAAAGCTACATTCTGCTATATTTCTACCTTGCAAGCATTCCAGCGACAAATTCCAGCTTCCACTGGAGCCGCTGCCACTGCTGCTAGTGCCACTGCCACTGCCGCTAACCCTGCTGCAAGAACACAGACCTGCGACAATCGCTGCGCGGTGGAGCTCGCCGCAAGCCCGCATTCTCGCGCGCGCGCGCTCACCGCCTGTGGATCACGCGATCGCCGTGGCACTTCATTTAGAGGACACTCCAGCCCTAATCCCTGGCCAGTTTCAAAGAGGAGGATTTCTTATTTGATATGTCCGAGCGATGACTTGACACAAAAGGAGAGATTCTTTTTTATTTTCTCTCTCTTTTGAGCGTGCGTGCCTGGCAATGGCATTATTATCTATCTGGAAAGAAGCGAATCTTTTGGGGCAAACTTTTAAATTTTGGCGGGAAGAGCTAGGGCAAGGGCGAGCTAGGGCGCCATGGACGATAGCTGCGCCTCGGGCGGTCTCGGTGTCGAAGGTATGCTTTCGGGATTCTTGTTCTTGTGCCAATGCGATGCTTTGTAGCGAACGGCAAGGAGAATCTCTTACCGACACAACAGGTTTGCTTCTCTCGCTCTCTCATTCTCGCTCGTAGCGTAACAAGAGGTTTTCCAGATCAAGAGGAAGCCTGTCACTGCTGTGAAGCCCCAGGATCCAAAGCGCTTGCGAGTGTGCAAGGCGGGAGGAATGGAGTGTTCCAGCAAGGAATTCTCAGGAACGTTGGGTTCCGAATTGAGCGACGGGTATTCCTCTCGGATTCTTCAGTCGGGCATGGTCATCAACGTACAGCGATGCGGGGAGAGGTCCGCGAGCGAGATCCAAGCAGCAAGTTTGCGTTTTGGTGGCAAGCGCACTGGTTTGAGTCTCGGGGGAGTGAGAGCTCCTTTGGCAAGAAGTCTAGACTCAAAAGTTACGATGGATGAGGGAGATTTTGGGGATGTGACAGAGGTAGAGAAAAGGAGCAAACGAGCACCAGCTGTCGGAGGAACTTCAGATAGCTCCGGAAAGCCGAAGGTCTCGCAGAATTCCGCGGGGAATTTTGTGAAGCTCAATATCAACGGAAAAGGACGTAAGAATCGCAAGTTCCTCAATCGTGCATCTTCTGGCAAGAAGTCGTCTTACCGTGGACGTAGAAGATCCAGTTTTAAGAAGAAGGACTGCGACAATGCCGTCGATGAAGGGAAGGATCAGATTTGGGAGGACGATGGCTGGTGCGATTCTGGGAATGGAGAGCCTCTTCAACGCCAAGATGAAGCTTGCCTCCCCGACGAAGCACTCGCGGCTTTGAAAGATCCAACTGACCACAACTTATTGAAGGTTCTTCGTTCTGTTTTTGGATACGCTAGCTTCCGGAAGGGACAGGTAGAGACGATTCGTTGCGTGCTGTCAGGGCAGTCAACCATGCTTGTTCTTTCCACCGGTGCTGGAAAGTCACTTTGTTACCAGGTATTTCCTTTTCTTCTTTTTCTTCATCTGGTTCTTAAATTCTTGCAAACTATTTCAGCTTGCAGCCTATCTTCTACCTGGAACCACTCTGGTGATAAGCCCATTGTTAGCATTGATGGTTGATCAGTTGCGTCATCTTCCATCGGCGATCCCTGGCGCTCTTATCAATAGTACTCAGGTTTGTTTCCTTTACTAATCCAAGGTGCATAACATTCATGATTGGATAGTCTGCAAAGGAGAGTTTGGAAGTACTAGAACAAGTAAGGACTGGAGCCGTGAAGGTATTCATTTTCTTAGCTGTGAAAGTCGTCCGGTTTTATGGATTTAACGATTAATCATTGGCGCAGGTTCTTTTTATGTCTCCAGAGCGACTATACAGTGAGAGCTTTCTGTCCGTATTAACTGATCTTCCAAGTATATCACTGGCTGTGGTTGACGAAGCTCACTGTGTTTCGGAATGGTTTGTTTATTTTCTGGTACAATTTGCCTGCTCACTAACAACTTCTCTGCAGGTCACATAATTTTAGACCGTCGTACTACAGGCTTGGGAGTGTTCTTCGTAATAAAGTTAAGCCTAAATGCGTGCTGGCTATGACCGCTACAGCTACTCGAAAAACGAAGGACTCAGTTTTGTCCTCCCTGGGAATTTCATCGAATAATGTACTGAATCAGCCTGAAGTTCCACAAAATCTTGTTCTTACGGTTTCCCGCTGTGAAACCAACAAGTACGTGCTGATTCATCTTGGATCTAACTTACTCTCTTGCAGACTGCATGCTCTTGCTCAGCTGCTCAACTCTAGCCCATTTGTGGATGCGCAGAGTATTATCATATATGTCAAATTTCAGGTGACGCTCTCTTTCTCTAATGCTTGCGGGCCAATTTGACGGAATGCGTCACAGAATGAAGCGGACCTAGTGTGCAACTATCTCCAGTCGAAGGGCCTCCTTACAGACGTAAGCACAACGTTCTATGCTTGCTGAATGTACAGCATGGTTGAACTTCAGAGTTATCACGCTGGAAGAACGTTACAAACGCGGCGAGAAGTCCAGGAAAAGTTTTGCTTGAACAAACTTCGAGTGGTAATGTGCTTGCTTCGAGTGCTTTACAGGACTCTTACATGAACCATATTTCTTAGGTGGTTGCGACCGTTGCCTTTGGAATGGGACTTGACAAAAGTGATGTGAGGGGGGTAAGAAAGCTAATTAGAAGGTCATATTGATATTAAACAATGCAATACTCAGGTAATTCATTATTCCATACCATCAAGTCCCGAACACTATGTTCAGGTGAGTTTGAGAATTTTGAAAACAGGCATTTGATTGTATAAACAGGAAATAGGACGTGCTGGCCGCGATGGGAAACCTGCATTTTGTCATCTCTTTCTTGATAACTGTAGCTATTTAAAGCTGAGGAGCTTGGCACACAGGTACATACACTAAATTTGAGGTGCTTTGCTAATGATGAACGAGTGCTGCAGCGATGGTGCTGATGAATACGCGATAAACAAGCTCCTTTCTCGCGTTTTTGGTTCTGGCCGTGGATTGCAATCTTTAAATATCGAGCAGGCATGCAGGGAATTAGATTTAAAAGAGGAGGTAAAAAGTCGCAAAGTTTTGGATTTTAGAATTCTCTCGTCATCATCCTTACATTACAGGTGATAGCTACAGTTCTCTCCTACTTGGAAGTCGGAGAAGAGCAGCAGTTAAGAGTACTCTCTTCTCTTAAGGCCACATGTATCTTACACTTCCACAAGGTAACGTAGCAGCTATGCGGGACCGAATTTTGACGCAGCACATTACAGGGTTCACCGCACGTGCTGGCAAGATCAAATGCATTTTGTTCTGCGGTTTTAGAAAGGTAGGCTCACTTTGAGTCAAGGATCCGACTCAGCTGCGTGGCATGCAGGAAACAAGAAAAGAACGGCGGATACACTCTCAATCTACCATCTCTGGCCGCAGAGATGAAAGTAACGCTGATGCAAATTCAGAGAGAGCTTCAAGCCCTTCAGACAAGAGGAGAAATCGCGTACGAGCTGAAAGATCCAGCATTTTGCTACCAAGTCCTGGAATCTCCGGAAGACATTTGCATGCTCACTTCAAAACTTGCGGACTACCTTTCACAAGCCGAATCGTGCAAGGTTAATCTACTCTGGTTATAGAGTGTAGTTCTTTTAACGCTGCTCCACAGGTGAGAAAACTGGACGCGATGTACAATGCCGCAGCTTTGTCAGTGGGACCTTCGGCTGAATCACCTATACGAGCCAGCATAAAGGCTTATTTCGATTCCAGCTCCGACCAACAAGCTCTTACGATGCCAGGCTTTCTCAAAACCACAAGGTAAGCAAACTTCTCTTTTTCACATGCAGCTAAATTCCCCCTCACTTGCTGCGATTTTAGCTCCTTTTTGCGTGCTGATGTCAAGGTCAGTTCACTCGACTTCAAGCGAATGGTGTGAAGCTGAAAACATTTGGCTGACAGGTTTTCCTACGCTCCAACGAAATGGACTTCACTGGCCGTGCCATTGCCAGAATTTTCCACGGGCTGGGAAGTCCCATGTACCCGGCTTCCTCATGGTCCAGGAACCATTTCTGGTACGTACGCTTAGCACCAGACATTGATTCTCCTGTTCTTTTTATTGTTCTTTTGTTTCTCAGGGGCCGACACATGGACGTGGATTTCTATGCCATTAGGGAGGTTGCCACCGCGGAGCTCCTTGCTTGTCGCAGTAGCAAGAGATAACAAGGTCCCATCCTAAATATTTCATGATCTTCACCTCATCGAAAATCCCAGGAGGAGGACGAGGAGGAGGAGAGATAACCGTTTGGAAGAGCGTGAACCAACTGCCAAGCTTATAACTATAGGTACATAGAAACAGCTGGTCTCAAAAATGGTCTCACACTGCTTTTAGGGTAAAGGATAAAGGGACAGCTGAGTGAGGAGCGAAATGGTGGAGCGGTAGCGGAGAATTGGCATTGGATCTCGTTGGGTTTCGAGGAATCTGGCCAATGGTGGTGGATCTGCGACGCTAGATCTTGGCTTCTCTTCTGGGTAGGCTCGCAGAAATGGCTCCGACGAGCAGCAAGGATAGGAAGGCAGTGGCCGATGTGGGCGCTTGGCTCTTCAATGTGACTACGTCTGTGGGGATCATCATGGTGAACAAGAAGCTCATGGACCACTACGGCTTTAGCTTCGGTCAGTGGAAAGTTTGGATCTGCTCGTTTCTGATCTATCTGGTGCTGAAGTTTTTTGTTGTTTTGCCTTTCGTTTTTGCAGCCACGACACTGACGGGCCTGCATTTTGGAATGACCACGCTAATGACTCTGGTGCTCAGATTCCTGGGTTTTATCCAACCGACCCACTTGCCATTCGTCGATCTCGCAAAGTTTGCTCTTTGCGCAAACTTCTCCATCGTCGGCATGAACGTCAGCCTGATGTGGAACTCCGTTGGCTTCTACCAGGTAAGCTTGTCTTTGCTCTTTTCTAGAGCCTGAGTTCTTGTGCCTCCTTGCGCAGATTGCAAAGCTCAGTATGATCCCCGTCTCTTGCCTTCTCGAGGTCCTTTTCGACAAGATACGCTACTCGCGAGACACAAAGCTAAGCATCGTGGTGGTGTTGCTAGGAGTGGGAATCTGCACGGTCAGCGACGTGAGTGTCAACACGAAAGGATTCGTGGCGGCCGCCATAGCAGTGTGGAGCACAGCACTCCAGCAATATGTAAGTGTTTCAGAAGACACTTTTCATTGATCCACTCTTGTTTGTTTACTGCAGTACGTGCACTTTTTGCAAAAGAAATACGCCCTCGGCTCCTTCGATCTCCTGGGCCACACCGCTCCCGTCCAAGCCGGCTCGCTCATCCTTTGCGGCCCCATAATCGACTACTGGCTCACTGGCCTGCGAGTCGACTTGTTTCAATTCTCCTTCCCTTCACTGGTAAGTGTAGCTTAGCTGTTTTTCTTTTTATCTCATTCCATCGATCCAGCTTCTCAAACTCGTTGGGAATTCTTTTGCAGTTTTTCATCATCCTCTCGTGTTCCATCGCCGTGGGAACCAACCTCAGCCAGTTCATCTGCATTGGGAGGTTCACGGCGGTGTCGTTCCAGGTGCTGGGACACATGAAGACGGTGCTGGTGCTGGTGCTGGGATTTTTCCTCTTCGGCCGCCAGGGACTTAATCTCCAGGTGGTGCTGGGAATGCTCATGGCGGTGGTGGGAATGGTGTGGTATGGCAACGCGTCGTCCAAGCCCGGCGGCAAAGAGAAGAGAGCCTACGTCCTTCCCATCAAAGTCTCTAAGAACAGTGTTAGTAGCGAGGACGACGAAGAGCTTGTGAGCAACAAGACTTGATCCATCGATCGATTCTTTTGTTCTTCTTTCCATATTTTTTTCTCCCTACGTCCTTTTTATCTCTCTTATAGGGAGCGATCGAGAATAATTCTTAGAATAAGTGTATCTATTTTGTTGCCTAGAGTTAGGGTTTTTGGGTTGCGCCAGGCGCCAGCTCTCCTTCCTTCCATCCAGATCTGCCACAATGTGGAAGAATTTCAAGGAGAATCTCTCCCAGATGGCGTCCGAGGTGCTCGAGACGGTCGAGGAGCTCGATCCGAAGGCGCATCGCGAGGAGGACGAGGAGGGAGATTCTTCGCCGGCGGTGTCTGGCAGCTCCAGATCGCAGCAGGTATGGGCGAGTGTGGCCGGATTGTGATCCAGGGCTGAGGATTTTGTGCGCAGGCCGGCAGAGGATTCCACAGCCGGCGGAGATCTGAGGATGGTTTCCAGAATTTTGATCATCGCTCTTGGAGGAATCGGGATTACAAGGAAAGGAACGGCGTGGGAGCAGACGATTTCGGGGACTACGAGTCACGCTTGCTGGAGAGCCAGAGGAAGTGTCAGGATCTTGCGAATCGCGAGAAGGTATGTGGTTTCTTTTGCTTTTGTAGTGGTAAACTTTAGATTCCAGGAGCTGCTAGATCAAATGCGGGGCAAGGAACAAGCGTTCCGGGACCTAGATAACAGCCATCGTAGTGCGCAGCAAGAGCTGGAGAGGCTTACGATAGAACTGGAGAAAGCTCGTTTGGAGTTACATAGTTTCCAACAAAGTGGCTGTCTGGGAAATCATGATGAGAGGACTGCTACTCAACCAGATGCTGAGAAACTACAAAGGGAGTTACAAGAGAGGGACGAAACAATCAGTCAGCTTCGAGAATCAATATCAGCACTGACGACCGAGCGCAGTCTCTTCCAGGTATAGTGTTATATGTTTTTCTTTTCTTTTCTATAGATATGTGTATGTAGGCAGAAAAGGAACAGCTGAAAAAGGCTTTAGATTCACGCGAGCTTGAACTGCAGCAGCAAGCTACTTCTGCAGAAAAAACGACGAGTGAACCAGAGGTTGTCCAGATTGAAATGTTGAGAGCTCAAGCTCAACAGGTATGTTCTCTAGAGGGATAAGTAGCTAAAAGCAAATGCTGTATGCTTGTAGGCGGATGTCCTTTCAGTGCAACTGCGAACCGCGGAGGAAATTCTCGAGAATGAGAGGAACGACTTCAGAAAGAAGCTCGAGGCTGTCACATTGGAGAAGGATAAAGCTCTTAACAACCTCAACAGGTTAAAGCAGCACCTTTTGGATAAGGTACGAGAGCATGTCTGTTTCATTGTTTTAACGCTGGATTGTAAACAGGAAAATGCCGACTCAGAAAAAATGGACCGAGATAGCGAGCAGATTGCTATACTTGAAGGAAAATTTTCAGCAACTTGTGCCCGTGTTATACAGCTGGAGCAAGCGTTAGCGCAGGCTTTATCTTCTCAAACTGATACCAGTAAACGATTGAATGAAGATTTGCAGGCATCGAAGGTGGAGATTGAATCTCTAAAGTCTAAGCTTGTGAACTCTTATTCCGTCTTGGAGGCTAGAGACAAGGAGATAGCCAATCTCCAAGTGGCACTTGGGCAGTACTATGCAGAAACTGATGCGAAGGTACTCTTGATCGATTGGGAAGCTGCTTAAGTTGATTATTGCAGGAGCGCCTTCAACGAGAACTCAATACTGCAAAGGAAGATCTCAGGAAGTTTTCGGACAGTTTGGAAGTAAGTAGTCGGTCAATGGAAGATTCAACTTACATATTTGTTCAACAGGCAGCAAAGCGGATGGTTGAGGTAGTAGAAGCACAGAAGAAAGAAGCTGTAGAGAAACTACACATCGAGGAACGACAAGGGCTTGAAAATCAACAAAAAACACAGAAAATGCAAGAAGACATGATCAGGTTACGCCGTGCTCTGGAAGAAAGCATGATCCGTCTAAACAGGATGTCTTCAGATTCAGATTATTCCGTAGACAGGTAAAGAGGTTCGTATCATGTACTGGCTAAATTTCTTCTTTTAGGCGCATTGTCATCAAATTGCTCGTGACATATTTTGAGAGAGGACATAACCGCGAGGTAGTTGGAGCTTTTTGAAATTCTGACTTTCTAATATTTCTAACAGGTTCTTGATTTAATGGCCCGTATGCTGGGGTTCTCCGACGATGATAAACGAAGGGTTGGACTCGCTCATCAAAATTCTGGGAAACCGGGTGTTATGAGAAGCGTTTTTGGCCTCCCAAGGCGTGTCGTCGGAGGTATCTTATCTGGCGGTAATGACAATTCGTCTTTTACGACAAGCAATGATCAGGTAATCTTGTTCATGGTATTTTCCTATTCAATTCTGTTTTCGTGCAGTCATTTGCGGACCTTTGGATCGATTTCTTGCTGAAAGAATCCGAGGAAAGAGAAAAGGCTCAAAACTCAGGGTTGGGTGCAAGAAGCCCGCAAAGCGATTTTCATTCTTCAGCTTTTAACACCGGGTTTGAAAGTGATGGTGGTTTAGAAGCTGACATTTCAGGAGTTAGAGGCCACAGGAGGGTCTATTCCAAATCCTGATAGAAAGTTTTCCAGTTGCTCTTGCAGCTCGAGGCATCCGGATGTTTTTTTCTTATATATTCCTTGCCTGGATATGCAAAATTAACTGGTACGTGTCCTGTCAATTTTACAGTTGATTCGTCTGGAAATATTGTTTTGTTTAGTCGTAAATTGCTGCTTTTGTTTGTTAACTATTACTTTCATTGTGTAGATTCGATACAATCGATTTGATTCTTTTGGCTCTCGTGCTCCAGGTTTGGCCAATTTCATTGTCTTCAAGCGTGACGGCGTTGATGTGGGTTTCTGTGAACTTTCAGTAACAATTCCGGCTACGCAACTACCCTGCAAGAGAGAATAAAACAGCGGTCTTGCAACGAGATCATAAGTGGGATAAGCGATGGTTGTGGTGGCAATTCCCATATTCAACGGGTTCACAGCCCTGGATGCGATCGGGCCTTACGAAGTTCTACACAGAATTCCGGGGGTGCGGGTGGAATTTGTGAGCGAGACTGCTGGCCTGTACCTTGCCGATGATGGTCATCTGCGAGTGGAAGCCCCGGTTTGTTTCGAGCAAGTTCCAAGCCCCGATGTGCTCGTGGTTCCTGGCGGTCCTGTCAAGAACCTCCCTCTGACGAACAAGGCTTTTCTCGATTACATTGTCAAGGTAATGGAAAGAACCTCGCGGCCCTGGTTGTGATTGATTGCTTTGGTTTCACAGGTTCACAAAACAAGCCTGTACACCACTTCTGTGTGCACTGGAGCGCTCCTCTTGGGAGCTGCTGGAATCCTCCATGGCCTCAAGGGGACGACGCACTGGGCAGCTTTTGACAACCTCGCTTCTTATGGAGTTACTCCTGTTCATCAGAGATATATACGTCAGGTGAGTTCGCTAGATTCGTTTTCTGGTGGGCTAATGAGCTCAATTCGTGGGATGCAGGGGAAGATTATCATGTCCGCCGGCGTGTCGGCTGGGATCGACTCGAATTTGGAGGTGGCAGCCTTGCTAGCAGATGAAACAATGGCCAAGGCTGTCCAACTGGCGATTGAGTATGATCCCCAGCCGCCATTCGATTCGGGCAGCGTGGGGAAAGCAAGCAAGGAGGTTGTGGATCTGGCTAGAAAGATCACCGCAGCCTTGCCTTCTCTTCAAAATCAGTGATCTCGTTTATTCCTCTGAATAAAGATTCTCGAATGGATTCGCTATGCTAAATCTCTTGTGGCATCTGATAATTAAGAAGGCATAAAAATCACGAACACGATGTCAAAGTGAGATTTTTATCATTTTTTCCATCTTCGTGTAGAGCTTGGTGTAGAACTGTTCCGAGAGCCTGGACTCGAGGAATCAAAAATATACAGAAGCTAATATGTCTCAAACAGTGTGCTCAGCTAATTGTTCTTGCTGTTTGTATTGCCAGCAACAAGCCACTCGTGTTGCCTCAAGTTGTCACACGTGTTGCCTCACAGTCGTCACAGAAACACTGTCAGAAACATATTAGCATCAGCAATTTGCTACAATTTGTTATGAATTATCACAAAATTTACTTCTGCCCATGAGATTTGAGCTGGCTGATAAAATCCCAAGCCAACAGAGACAGAGGGACTGCTGTTTTCTCCAGCAGCAGCCCAAGCTGATGAAGATCTGATCCGAAGGTGTAATAGCAGCCTTCCCTCAGAATCGTTTGTGTTCAGCCGGTCAGAAAAGACTCACCAACATCACTTGGCTCTCCAACCAATTGAGATCAATCAATATAAAATTCCTTGTTGATAAATAGTCACGGATCACGTTGTCCATGTGAATGTCCTGATGAACCAAACCTGAAGAACAAAACAGTACAGCTTTTCAAAAAGAAAAGAACAGGAAAAAATCAGCTTTTGCTTTTTTTACCCAGACAGTGTAGAACATCCTAGTGCAGATAATAGATTGGACACAAGCTTCTAAACCAAGACTTATGGAGGTTAACAGTGAGATTCTTCCAACATGATTAAGTGATTAAATTAGAATTAAAAATTTAGTTGTTTACAGTTGGTAAATGAACTAATTTTTGATTTTTATAATTTATTTTAATATATATTTAATAGATATGTGGGTTGTTGCTGCTCGAAGTAGACAAATATTTTGATTGAGGCATTCCATGCAAATATAAAGGTTATACTCTCGTCTAAAAAATATATATATTCATAATTGAAGGATAGATGGGGCAATTCACTAATTTATTACTAAGGTTCATATGAGGTATTGATTTATTAATTATTATAAAGATCATGGTTTTATTCGAATCTATGCATACAAAAAGCTAATCGATGGTGTGATTGTTAAAGCAAGAAATATTAACAACTTTCAAATAAAATTTGACAAGGACAATACTCACAAATTCCATGTATAATCCTCTTCAGATCCAGTTATATGGTATTTTGTTGTCAAAAGTAAAAAACACAGTGATTGAGCTTTTCTAACTTAGTATAATTATATATGGGCAACCAAAAGAAACTTTTATAAGCATGAAGCAAAAGTTATTATATCAAACAAGAAGAGTAAATTAACTAGACTATGAAACTCAACTATCACATTTATATACAATCTTAAAACCTGGGTCAGATGACTTATTTTATTGTTAACAAGATTTTAAAAAACTTGACTTGGAAGCTATAACAAAGGTAATTCACTTATTAATTATAATTTTAAAATACTTATAAAAATTTGAGCAGGAAAATATTCATTGAAATGTGCAGCATTAAAAAGAATTCAACTAAAGACTACTATAAAGGTAATTTATACTAAAAAAAATTTAAATATGGAGCAGGAAGATATCACTTTATCAAAAGTTATAAAAGCAACATTGCAGTAAAAGATGATGGATATCTTACAAAATTTTCTTAATGAAAATATTATTTTATCTATGATTTAATAACAATTTAAAAATGATACAATAGAAGCTAAATGATATTATTCATCCTATATTAAAATTTCAACAACATATTGATAGTTATAGTACATCTTTAAAGTAGTCAAAACCTTTGGTGGAAAGAATTATAGGTAAAAATATAAAATTTTAGTAGTCCAGAGTGGTGGCTGCTGCTGCCATCACCTCATCACTAGTGGAGCTCAAATAATTATATCCTGCCGAGATGGAAAACCCTTTCAAAGCTGAGACAAAGAAGATCATCCATGTCAAGGTGAGAAGGATTTCTTAGTGCCAGTGGAGCTCAAATAATTATAGCTAAATGCAGGCAGTGGAAAGGTTGGAGAGCATCACATACGGCGCAGACTCCACGGGTTCCAGCAACATAATCTCGCCCCCAACCCAGGCGCCAACTTTCCCATCCACCAGAACAGTGCTGCACACGTTTAGTATCATGTTCCATGGAATCACGCCCGGATGGAAAGGCATGCTTACAGTCAGCTCCACACCTCGCTCGAGCTCCCCCGCCCGGCACACCACCTCCACTAGGCAGTGGTAGTGCTCGGCTCCAGCGGCGATCCCATGCTCCGCCATAAGGACGAATAGCTCCCTCGCCTCCTCCACCATCCCCGCGTAGCCACAGGCAGTGAGAATTCCCAGGAATGCGACACTGTCCAGCTCCATTCCCTCGAGCAGCATCCGGATGAAGAGCTCCACCGCTTGATGGCCATGCCCATGCCTCGCCAGCGCTGCGACCATCGCATTCCACCCCGACACCGCTGCAGGAGGAGCCCCGTGGAAGATCTCCCGGGCTCGATCCAGGCCGCCGCCACACTGGCCATAGAAGTTGACGAGTGCGCTTGCGAGCGAAGCCTTGATCACCAGATTGGCAATGGCGATATCCCGGTGGATTTCCATGCCTTGCTCGAGCGCCGAGGCAATGGAGCACGCCTCGAGGATGCTCGCAAAGGTGGCATCACTGGGAGGGATGCCTTCCTGGTCCATGCCGCAGTAAAGCGCGATGGCGGCCCGTGGCTCGCCATTGAGGGCCAGCGCCTGGATCATCGAGTTCCACGACACAATGCTACGAGCGGGCATGGCGGCAAAGAGCTCCCTCGCATCGCCGAGGTGGCTGCTCTGAGAGAGAGCCGCAATGAGGATGTTCCAGGAGAAGCTGTTGCGCTGCGGCATGGCACGCGAGAAGATCCACACTCCCTCTGTGATGCGACCGGCCTGGACGTAAGATCGTAGCAGCGCATTCCACGACAGCAAGCTCCACTGTGGCATTCGATCGAAGACCCGGCGAGATTTCTCAGGCGTGGACGAGTCCGCGAAGGCGGATACCATTATCGTCCACGAGAGATCGTCCCTCCTCTCCATCCTGTTCTTGAAGATGCTCCAGGGCCCGTGAAGGTCCTTCTCGATCGATGGCGAGCATCGTTCGCGAGCGTGGGCCGAGAGGAGAGCGTTCCAGGAGATCTCCGACACCTGCGGCATTTTGCTCAACACGAGCTCCGCGCTCGAGCTCTGCTGGCTATGGCCCAAGGCTGTGATGAGCACCGTCCATGACACACCGTCTGGTTTCATTGTTTTAACGCTGGATTGTAAACAGGAAAATGCCGACTCAGAAAAAATGGACCGAGATAGCGAGCAGATTGCTATACTTGAGGGAAAATTTTCAGCAACTTGTGCCCGTGTCATACAGCTGGAGCAAGCGTTAGCGCAGGCTTTATCTTCTCAAACTGATACCAGTAAAAGATCGAATGAAGATTTGCAGGCATCGAAGGTGGAGATTGAATCTCTAAAGTCTAAGCTTGTGAACTCTTATTCCGTCTTGGAGGCTAGAGACAAGGAGATAGCCAATCTCCAAGTGGCACTTGGGCAGTACTATGCAGAAACTGATGCGAAGGTACTCTTGATCGATTGGGAAGCTGCTTAAGTTGATTATTGCAGGAGCGCATTCAACGAGAACTCAATACTGCAAAGGAAGATCTCAGGAAGTTTTCGGACAGTTTGGAAGTAAGTAGTCGGTCAATGAAAGATTCAACTTACATATTTGTTCAACAGGCAGCAAAGCGGATGGTTGAGGTAGTAGAAGCACAGAAGAAAGAAGTTGTAGAGAAAGTACACGTCGAGGAACGAAAAGGGCTTGAAAATCAACAAAAAACACAGAAAATGCAGGTTACGCCGTGCTCTGGAAGAAAGCATGATCCGTCTAAACAGGATGTCTTCAGATTCAGATTATTCCGTAGACAGGTAAAGAGGTTCGTATCATGTACTGGCTAAATTTCTTCTTTTAGGCGCATTGTTATCAAATTGCTCGTGACATATTTTGAGAGAGGACATAACCACGAGGTAGTTGGAGCTTTTTGAAATTCTGACTTTTCTAATATTTCTAACAGGTTCTTGATTTAATGGCCCGTATGCTGGGGTTCTCCGACGATGACAAACGAAGGGTTGGACTCGCTCATCAAAATTCTGGGAAACCGGGTGTTATGAGAAGCGTTTTTGGCCTCCCAGGGCGTGTCGTCGGAGGTATCTTATCTGGCGGTAATGACAATTCGTCTTTTACGACAAGCAATGATCAGGTAATCTTGTTCATGGTATTTTCCTATTCAATTCTGTTTTCGTGCAGTCATTTGCGGACCTTTGGATCGATTTCTTGCTGAAAGAATCCGAGGAAAGAGAAAAGGCTCAAAACTCAGGGTTGGGTGCAAGGAGCCCGCAAAGCGATTTTCATTCTTCAGCTTTTAACACCGGGTTTGAAAGTGATGGTGGTTTAGAAGCTGACATTTCAGGAGTTAGAGGCCACAGGAGGGTCTATTCCAAATCCTGATAGAAAGTTTTCCAGTTGCTTTTGCAGCTCGAGGCATCCGGATGTTTTTTTCTTATATATTCCTTGCCTGGATATGCAAAATTAACTGGTACGTGTCCTGTCAATTTTACAGTTCATTCGTCTGGAAATATTGTTTTGGTAAGTTGTAAATTGCTGCTTTTATTTGTTAATTATTACTTTCATTGTGTAGATTCGATACAATCGATTTGATTCTTTTGGCCCTCGTGCTCCAGGTTTGGCCAGTTTCATTGTCTTGAAGAGTGGTTGACGTGAGTTTCTGTGAACTTTCAGTAACAATTCCGGCTACGCAACTACCCTGCAAGAGAGAATAAAACAGCAGTCTTGCGACGAGATCATAAGTGGGATAAGCGATGGTTGTGGTGGCAATTCCCATATTCAACGGGTTCACAGCCCTGGATGCGATCGGGCCTTACGAAGTTCTACACAGAATTCCGGGGGTGCGGGTGGAATTCGTGAGCGAGACTGCTGGCCTGTACCTTGCCGATGATGGTCATCTGCGAGTGGAAGCCCCGGTTTGTTTCGAGCAAGTTCCAAGCCCCGATGTGCTCGTGGTTCCTGGCGGTTTTGACCTCCCTCTGACGAACAAGGCTTTTCTCGATTACATTGTCAAGGTAATGGAAAGAACCTCGCGGCCCTGGTTGTAATTGATCGCTTTGGTTTCACAGGTTCACAAAACAAGCCTGTACACCACTTCTGTGTGCACTGGAGCGCTCCTCTTGGGAGCTGCTGGAATCCTCCATGGCCTCAAGGGGACGACGCACTGGGCAGCTTTTGACAGCCTCGCTTCTTATGGAGTTACTCCTGTTCATCAGAGATATATACGTCAGGTGAGTTCGCTAGATTCGTTTTCTGGTGGGCTAATGAGCTCAATTCGTGGGATGCAGGGGAAGATTATCATGTCCGCCGGCGTGTCGGCTGGGATCGACTCGAATTTGGAGGTGGCAGCCTTGCTAGCAGATGAAACAATGGCCAAGGCTGTCCAACTGGCGATTGAGTATGATCCCCAGCCGCCATTCGATTCGGGCAGCGTGGGGAAAGCAAGCAAGGAGGTTGTGGATCTGGCTAGAAAGATCACCGCAGCCTTGCCTTCTCGTCAAGATCAGTGATCTCGTTTATTCCTCTGAATAAAGATTCTGGAATGGATTCGCTATGCTAAATCTCTTGTGGCATCTGATAATTAAGAAGGCATAAAAATCACGAACACGATGTCAAAGTGAGATTTTTATCATTTTTTCCATCTTCGTGTAGAGCTTGGTGTAGAACTGTTCCGAGAGCCTGGACTCGAGGAATAAAAAATATACAAAAGCTAATATGTCTCAAACAGTGTTTTCAACTAATTGTTCTTGCTGTTTGTATTGCCAGCAACAAGCCACTCGTGTTGCCTCAAGTCGTCACACGTGTTGCCTCACAGTCGTCACGGAAACACTGTCAGAAACATATTAGCATTAGCAATCTGCTACAATTTGTTATGAATTATCACAAAATTTACTGCTGCACATGAGATTTGAGCTGGCTGATAAAATCCCAAGCCAACAAAGACAAAGGGACCACCGTTTTCTCCAGCAGCAGCCCAAGCTGATGAAGATCTGATCTGAAGGTGTAACAGCAGCCTTCCATCAGAGTCGTTTGTGTCCAGCCGGTCAGAAAAGACTTGCCAACATCACTTGGCTCTCCAACCATTTCGAGATCAATCAATATAAAATTCCTTGTTGATGAATAGTTACAGATCACATTGTCCATGTGAATGTCCTGATGAACCAAACCTGAAGAACAAAACAGTAGAACTTTTCGAAAAGAACAAGAAAAAATCAGCTTTTGCTTTTTTTATCTAGACAATGTAGAACATCCTAGTGCAGATAATAAATTGGACACAAGCTTCTAAACCAGGACTTATGGTGAGATTCTTCCAAGATAATTAAGTGATTAAATTAGAATTAAAAATTTAGTCGCTTACAGTTAGTTAGTGAATTAATTTTTTTATTTTTATAATTTTTTTTTCTTTATATTGGATAGATATGTGGGTTGTTGTTGCTCAAAGTAGACCAATATTTTGATTGAGGCATTCCATGCAAATATAAAGGTTATACTCTTGTCTAAAAAATATATATATATTCGTAATTGAAGGATAAATTAAGAAATTCATTAATTTACTACTAAGGTTCATATGAGCTACTAATTTACTAATTATTATAAAAATCATGGTTTTATTTGAATCTATGCATACAAAAAACTAATCAATGGTGCGATTGTTAAAGCAAGAAATATTAACAACTTTTAAGTAAAATTCAACAAAGATAATACTCACAAATTCTATATATAATCTTCTTCAGATCTAGCTATATAGTATTTTGTTGTCGAAGGTGAAAGACATAGTGATTGGGCTTTTCTGATTTAATGTAATTATCTATAAGCAACCAAAAGAAACTTTTATAAGCATGAAGCAAAAGTTATTATATCAAACAAGAAAAGTAAATTAACTAGACTACAAGGCTCAACTATCATATTCGTATGCAATCTTAAAACTTAGGATAGATGACTTATTTTTATTGTTAACAAGATTTTGAAGAACATGACTTGGAAGCTATGACAAAGGTAATTCACATATTAATTACAATTTTAAAATACTTGTAAAACTTTGAGCAAGAAGTTATTCATTGAAATGTGCAACATTAAAAAAAATTCAGCTAAAGACTACTATAAAGGTAATTTACACTAAAAAAAATTTAAATATTAATATGAACTTTGAGAAGGAAGATATCACTTTATCAAAAGTTATAAAAACAACATTGCAATAAAAAATTATAGATATTTTACAAAATTTTCTTAATGAAAATATTATTTTATCTATGGTTTGACAACAGAAGGTTACAACTTTTAAAATTAAGCCAAATGATATTATTCATCTTATAATAAAATTTCAACAACATGTTGATAGTTATGGTAGGTAAAAATTAAAATTTTTAGTAGTCCAGAGTGGTGGCTGCTTCTGCCATCACCTCATCACTAGTGGAGCTCAAATAATTATATCCTGCTGAGATGAAGAACCCTTTCAAAGCTGAGAACTTGACGAAGAAGATCATCCATGTCAAGGTGAGAAGGATTTCTTAGTGCCAGTGGAGCTCAAATAATTATAGCTAAATGCAGGCAGTGGAAAGGTTGGAGAGCATCACATACGGCGCAGACTCCACGGGTTCCAGCAACATAATCTCGCCCCCAACCCAGGCGCCAACTTTCCCATCCACCAGAACAGTGCTGCACACGTTTAGTATCATGTTCCATGGAATCACGCCCGGATGGAAAGGCATGCTTACAGTCAGCTCCACACCTCGCTCGAGCTCCCCCGCCCGGCACACCACCTCCACTAGGCAGTGGTAGTGCTCGGCTCCAGCGGCGATCCCATGCGCCGCCATAAGCACGAATAGCTCCCTCGCCTCCTCCACCATCCCCGCGTAGCCACAGGCAGTGAGAATTCCCAGGAATGCGACACTGTCCAGCTCCATTCCCTCGAGCAGCATCCGGATGAAGAGCTCCACCGCTTGACGGCCATGCCCATGCCTCGCCAGCGCTGCGACCATCGCATTCCACCCCGACACCGCTGCAGGAGGAGCCCCGTGGAAGATCTCCCGGGCTCGATCCAGGCCGCCGCCACACTGGCCATAGAAGTTGACGAGTGCGCTTGCGAGCGAAGCCTTGATCACCAGATTGGCAATGGCGATATCCCGGTGGATTTCCATGCCTTGCTCGAGCGCCGAGGCAATGGAGCACGCCTCGAGGATGCTCGCAAAGGTGGCATCACTGGGAGGGATGCCTTCCTGGTCCATGCCGCAGTAAAGCGCGATGGCGGCCCGTGGCTCGCCATTGAGGGCCAGCGCCTGGATCATCGAGTTCCACGACACAATGCTACGAGCGGGCATGGCGGCAAAGAGCTCCCTCGCATCGCCGAGGCGGCTGCTCTGAGAGAGAGCCGCAATGAGGATGTTCCAGGAGAAGCTGTTGCGCTGAGGCATGGCACGCGAGAAGATCCACACTCCCTCTGTGATGAGACCGGCCTGGACGTAAGATCGTAGCAGCGCATTCCACGACAGCAAGCTCCACTGTGGCATTCGATCGAAGACCCGGCGAGATTTCTCAGGCGTGGACGAGTCCGCGAAGGCGGATACCATTATCGTCCACGAGAGATCGTCCCTCCTCTCCATCCTGTTCTTGAAGATGCTCCAGGCCCCGTGAAGGTCCTTCTCGATCGATGGCGAGCATCGTTCGCGAGCGTGGGCCGAGAGGAGAGCGTTCCAGGAGATCTCCGACACCTGCGGCATTTTGCTCAACACGAGCTCCGCGCTCGAGCTCTGCTGGCTATGGCCCAAGGCTGTGATGAGCGCCGTCCATGACACAATGTCTCGCGCTGGTATCTTGTCGAAGAGATCTTTGGCTGCTCCGGCATCCCGGTGAGAAGAAGCTTGGAGCATCATGTTCCACGCACAAGTGTCGTGACTTGGCATCCTCTCAAAAGCGAGCCTTAAGGACGGATCCACCAGATCTTCGCTGCTTGATTGCTGCGAGAACAAACCGATCGCCAAAGTCCAGGTCAAGGCGTTTCTCTTTCCGGCTCGATCGAACAGTGCCTTGGCGTCTCCCAGATGCCCGTTCTGCACATACGCCTGGATCATGGCATTCCAGGCAGCAACGTTCTTTTCAGGCATGAGATCAAAGATATGACGAGCTCGAAGGAGATCACCAGCTTGAGCATATGCATTCATGACCACGTTGAATCCAACAGAACTTTCTTGGGGCACAGTTTCCACCATCGCCAGAGATTCAGCAAGATACCCGCACTGGGAATAAGCTAAGATCACTGCATTCCACGAGTAACTATCCTGCTGTGGGATCCTATCGAGCAAAGCTAGTGTTAAATCCAGTTTACCATGCAGCGCACACGCTTGCATCAGCGAGTTCCAGGAAATCAAGCTCCGCTGCGGCATGGCTGTAAAGAATTCCTGGCACTTCTCCAGATCCCCCTCCTCGGCAAATGCCGCAATCAGAATGTTCCACGCAATCACGTTTCTCTGGGGCATCTTGTCAAACATCTGGACCGCCACATCGATTCCTCCAGCGCGGGTGTAGAGGGTGATCACGGTGCTCCAAGAGATCACGTCTCGGCGGGTCATCCAGCCAAAGAGGACAAGCGCCTCTTCCAAATCGCCACTGCTGGAGTACGCCTGGATCATGATGTTCCAGGAGCTACCATCTCTTTCGGCCATGGCATCGAAGATCCTTCGCGCCTCGCCGATCAGCCCCTGCCGTGTGTGTGCAGTGAGAAGCAGATTGAAAGACACGAGATTCCTGGCGGGAGCACGGTGGAACGCGCGTGTGGCAAGATCGAGGTCGCCATTCCGGACGAGCTGCGTGACGAGGATGTTCCACGAGTAGACGTTTGGCGCACTGATCCGCTGGAAGGCCTCGATGGCCTCTCGCAGGGATCCGCAGCTACCATACATCTGGACGAGGAGATTGCCAAGATGGGTGTCAGTGTCGCGGCCCCATCGCGCGATCCGAGAGTGCGCTCGGCGTCCCTGCTCTAGCGCGAGCTCCGCGGCGCACTGGCGGAGTATCCAGGCGCAGGTGTTCCAGTCAGCGGCGGCGCCATCATCCAGACGATCGATCACTTCCGCCAGACACCACAATTCACGGGAGGCGAAAGCTTGGGGGAGATTGCGAGGGCGTATGATGCTACAAGAGGAAGGAATCATACGCCATTCTCCATGGTTTAAAGTTTAAAGGGATAAGCATTACAAATTAAATTCCCAATTGAATTAACTTTTAAAACTTTTTTGTTTTTTAATTAATTATAAATAATGACTTAACCACAAGGTCTGTAAATAAATACACATCCATCTTTACTAACTTATTTGCAACTTGATTTCGAATGATATATCAATTGTCTTTGACCTTAGAGAAATAATTAGGCAATGTCTTGCAACATAAACAATCTTTTGAATAATGTTTGTGTTTGATCAGCTCTACTTGGTTTTGCACATACATTTATAATAGTGTCCAAGGAATTGTACTTGTTTGTGTTCAAGGAATTGTAGCTGTTTGTATGTAGCCACTCTATTTCAAAATAAATTTCCAAAACCCATAACAAACCCAAAATCTCAAATATAATGGTGTAATTTATATTTATATAATTGTTTTGCCTTTTCCATGTCAGTTTGATAGAAGCTCTTTGAACAAATCCATACTCTACATTTCAATGCTTAAACACAATCACTGAAAAATTACATTCCAATGCCACCATTTAATGCTTGTATAAAACTTTGTTCACCTCAAACATATCTAACCCAAAAGGCATTGGCCATTTTTTATATAAACATAAATGTACACTCATTATTTACTTTATTTGCTCAAAAGAACTCCTCACCGTGGAAAGCTGGTACACTGTTCCACAAGCATGGTGAATTCCAAGTGTTTGAAATTCTCTACATTCCTTCCGTGCTGTGCGTGTCGTCGCACTGGACCTCGGCCACCTTGGGCAGCGCCAGGGAGCTGTATCCGCGAGTGGGCGGCGACAAATACCTCCCATTCCCCAGGTTGGATTGGTACTCGCTCATCTTCTTGCCATACATTTGCTCAAACTTAAACATCTCGTGCGCGTGGAGGGCCTTGAGCTCTCTCACGATGTTCTTATGCCGCTGAAAGGAGGGAGAGACGATTGGATCAAGAGCTTCCAAAAAACGCACAGACCTGGTGGATTCGCTGCAGATCTTTGGCTCGCCCTTCTCTTAGCTGGTCCCGGCCTTTGGTCGCCTTTTGGAGAAGCACCTCCATCTCGCTGTGCTGCTTGGTTCTCAAGGCTTGCTCCTTCAGTCCCACTTCGGCCTGGTATGACTCGATCGTCGCCTCCAGCTCCTCGTGCTCCAGTCGGTCGGCTGTTTTCTTCACTCTCAGCGCCTCCGAGTACTTGCCTTGCTTTCCCAAGTATTCCTGCAGTGGGAGTTGAGTTGAGAGCTTCCTTCCTCTCTTCCTACCTGGACTTTTCTTTGGTTCAAGAGCTCTGCCGACCATTGTGGCTTGCAAGGTTTCTTGGAAGCCATTTTCGTCCTGAAAGTATCGAGGATAGTCGTGTGCTGACGCTTGAGCCGTGAAGCGTGTTCCATGACATCCTTTTGGAACAACGTGATCTTGTCATCCCAGTACTGTGTTCCATCTTTGCCAGGCGGATTAGCGATGGAGAAGATAACCAGCGAGGATGAGAAAACTTACTTTGTTCCTGTCGTCGACTTCGGCCTTGTATGCCCTCTCCGCGCTTTGCCTCTCTTGCATATGTCTATTTAGCATTGCTCCCCTCCTCTTGTTGTTCTCGAGGATCTACAAACGTACTCAAAATGTAAGAATCTGGAAGCTCAAGAGTGACAACGTTTAACGTACTTTAAGTTCGTTCAAGCGTCGAGCAGTTGATCGCGCCTCGACGTAGTTCCCTTCCCTCTCGCATCTTTTCTTGTGGTGCTCTAGATCCTTCATCATCGTCATAACCTGAGAGGAAGGCAAGCGTAAGATAGTCAAGTTTCTCACAAGTCAAAACTCCAGACCTGTGGCTCAAGACCTGGATAAAACTCTTCTATGTCTGGCTTTCTAAGGTTGGATTTCTGGAGGCTCTTCCAAACAAATGGTGGTCCAGTCCTGCGTAAGTTTCGGAATCCATGAAAACTCGAAGAAGATATAGAAAATGTACCTGGAATTGAAGAAGGATTTACTGTTGTCTTTGCGTTCCAGGTGCATAGCCACATGTAGCAGCAAGTCCCATTTCAGTGGCTCCCCGGGATCATATCTCTGGTCTAGCTTGTGAATTATGGCCAGTAGCACGTCCTCGGTTGGGACCACGAACCTCGACGACTCCAGGATCTCTGGCAACTTCCAAAACACCCGCACAAAAATCAAACTGAGGAACTCAAAGCAAAAAGTATCAAGCAGATTAGAGCAGTGAAAGTATGAGCAAGAGAAGAAGACACAGAAAGAGAGTAATGGCTAAGTACCAACTGTAGAGGAACTCCTTCCTTCTCGTTCTCCGGATCCTTGAAAGCCGCGTAAGTCATCTTGAGCGAGCCAATGTGATCAAACCGTGAGGCTCCCGCGGCCGACTTGATGCTCGACGCCCTGCTGCCAGCGGCACTACCATGGTCGCCATACACGAGCTTCCTCATCCCCGGCCCCCCATGCCCGAGCACAAGATCCCGCAAGTTCTTGGACCCCAGGCCGGATATGAGCGACAAGTCGGACACGCTCGTCTCGTCGTCCGCCGGGGAAGAGATCTCTCCTTTCTCTTTGTTCGGCACCACCGCCGCCGCCACCGCCGCTGCGTCCCAGTGGTGGTGCGATGCTGGCGCTGTGGATTCCAATGGCGGCCCCGGCTCCACGTACACTCTCCTATATCCCCTCTTTCTCCCTTGCTGGAGAGGCGACCACTCCCCTCCAGCGTACTCCGGGACGGCAACGTCGTTATTTGGCGTCCCGACCTCCCACACCGAGTACTCGCTCTTGCCATGCCCATCGTTGATACCCATTCTGGAGAAATGCGGGGTTCCTGCAAGACCTCAGCGAACCCACATCCAGATCCGCGGCCCTGCCCAGGAATTGCGACGGAACGAGAGCTCTGCCGATGATCTCGCTGCCCACGACAAGGATCGGTTGAAACAGCCACTGGGCATCTGGTCGCCAGTCGCGCGTCCCTGTCTGGGAGACTCACTCATACCTGGCGATCCATGAGGAGTTAGCTTGCGATTGCTGCTAGCTCGCAGCGAGCCCTCGGGGAGGGTTTTGGGCGGTTGAAGATGTCACGGCCGCGGGACATTGGCATCGTCAACCGCCCAATATTCCAACGGTGGAAATGCATCAACACTTCATAGTGAATCAAAAAACAATATGTTTCAAGTGATCAACCCTAGGGGTAGTGGTTAAGCCCGGGGAGATGGGATAGTCCTATAGAGCCGAATCCCAGGATCGAGACCCTACCCTCTTGAAACTGATCACTCCTTTTTATTTTTTTGATTGAATTTAAGCACGACCCAACTTAGACGTTTACACACAATACCTCCCGGTCGTCCATGGTTACGCAGTGTTTGCTCTAGTTCCCAAGACTTCGTCTCCTAGTTCTACCATCATCTTGTAGAACTCGTGTAGCTCCGTTAGATCCGACGTCTTCATCGATTCCATCATCGACTTGGCAGCCGAGCGACGCTGCTTGAATCTCTGGAGCCTCTCTAAAAGAATGGTCGAGTTTCTTACTGTGGCTCCCATTTGCTTGAGCCTCTCCATTTGCTCGAATTCATTGAACTGCGCAAGAAAGATCTCACATACCAGAAGAAAGAGATAGGTAGGTCGTACGAACCTGTAGAAACTCCGCGCCTGCTTCCAAGTCACGGCTGCTCTTGACACGGCTCAGCTGAGGAGTTTTGCCATCGCTCCTCATCTTGCAAACTTGCTCCTCCTCGTATATGTGCTTGGCCAGCGAGAAGCTCCGAATCAGCTTTTGCCTCTGCTTCTCCATGTCGCCGTCGAGCTTGACAAGTTCTTTCGCTTTCTTAGGAGATAGTAGCCTCTTTTGATATGCTATCACAGCCTTTGCAAAGTCCTGCATTCATTTTTAAATCAAAGAGATGAGCCAGACGTGAGAGCTTACTTGATAAGCACGATGACATCCCGGGTAGTCGAACTCGTTCTCCAGCAGAGCTCCATCCGAATCAGATCCGCCATTCTCAGGGTGTCTCATACGCTCCGGATGAAACTGGAGGCCAACGATGAACTTTCCTTCCGCGGGATTGTACACGTCCGGATCAAAAAACGCTTCTACTAGCCCGTCTGGAGCGAAAGCCATTGGTTCGAACCTTCGAGCTAATCTCTTCACGCCCTAGAAACGTACAAGAAAGCCAAGCATGAAAACAGGAAGAAAAGACAGAAAAAAAACTGTGTCTCTTACCTGGTGATGGTAACTGTTCACATGAAGACACTTGTCTTCGGAATTGCTAAGCGATTTCTCAAACCAGTCGTGCAAAGGAGTGCCTTGGACAACTTTCACAGGGTGTCGGTGTCCGTCATAGTCATCGTAGTTGATATGTTTGACTTGGACGCTGCTTTTGCCTGAAAGCTCCTTCTCAACGTCCTGGAAGAAAACACCTTCATTGAAAACCAGAAAGTGGAAAGAAAACTCTCTGACCTGATAGAGTGATCCTCCACATGCAACGTTGAGTACCTGGGAACCGCGGCAAATCCCGAGATATGGAATGTTTCTCTCGAGGCACCGGCGAGCAAGCTGGAGCTCGATCGAATCCTTGTTCCGGTCGATGAGAATGTCACTGGTGTGCGTTCGCTTGATCTCATCCACGTCCTCGGGTGTCAAGGCCGAGACATCACTGTCGTACAGAGTGGGATCGATATCCTCACCCTCGCACAGTAGCACGCCGTGGATTGGCTCGAAGCTGTCGAGGAGCGAGTTTAATCCGGAAACTCGTGGAACAATGACTGGAACCGCCCCATAGCTGACGATCAAATCCAGATGGTATTCTCCTGTGAGAGAGAAAAAGAACGAACTGTTAGCTAGCTAGCCATGCTTTCTGTGAAGAAGTCACAAGAAAGCAAGCAAACGGTAGGTCCCCCGAAAAAATTTCCAGGGATTTTTTTGATCGATCAGGAAACAAGAAAACAGAGAAAACAGGAGATTTAGAGGATGGAATCGAGGTCGACATTTCAATGACAAGGATTGAAAAGGAAATCTAGAATCGGCTGGGAGAGGAAGAGATTTCGATCCATTCTCAATCAGTTACCAACGAAATCCACGAATTTGTTCTTGCGGACGGTGCGCCTGGAGACGATGAGGACGCGCGGCAGCACGGAGGCGAGCTCCGCGGCAACAGCGCCGTCCATCCCAGCGCTCTCGCCAAACCCTTCCTTCATCGCTTCAAACGCACAATAATGCCGCTCGAGAGAAACAAAGAAAAGAATACTTCCTAAACTATCTATATGAATCCATGGCTCAGTTCTAATCCTTCCAGCCTTCACCGACGTGGCGTTACGCGGCCACTCGACATGTGGGCGGCTTTTGAAGCATATTCGAGAAAAGATCATCGCTGACCAATTCTATTGCTTGTGTAGTTAAAAAAGAATGTAAATCGCGTGGTGACTCACTGGTCGTTGAGAATGGTCGCCAATGGTCACCGTGGTAGTACCATGACCATGCCTTCAAGGACGTCCTGGGTGAGGCTTGATTGGCTGATGAGGGATTGGATGAAGTGGCCGAGTCTTGATTGGTTGATGTGGTGGTAATGGACACCCTGATTAAAAACGATTAAAAACCCGTATAATCAAGGAAGGGACTTACGTGGTGGCGAAGGTGTCATAGGCACAGGTGCTTGTTTGGGGGGGGCCGATTGTCCTGTAACTTGTGGAGCTGGAGATGGTGCAAATGCTTTGGGCGTTTCAGCTGCTGGTGATGGCGATGAAAGCGACGATACAATCGCTGGTGGTGCTTGTGTTGGCGATGAAACTGAGGGTGATGACAATGCGTGTGAAGATGCTGGCGAAGAAACTGGTACCAGCGATGGCGATGGTGCAATGGATCTTACTGGGGAAGAGACTGGCACCTCTGATGGTGAAAACTCCGGGCTTGCGGATGTCGGCGAGGGTGAGATTGAGCGTGACAAAGCTGGCGATTGGGCGGTAGTATAAGCCGATGGTGGTGGCGATGGTGCTTGGCTTGGAGCGGCAGAGGAAGATGGCGTTTGAGAAGGCGATGGTGATCGGCTTGTGGAACATGGCGTCCGAGAAAATGATGGTGGTGGCGATGGAGCTGTAAATCTATCTGAAGACGTCGGTGCCAAGGAAGGAGTAGCAAGTGGAGATGGCACAATAGGCTGCGAGCTTGCTAAGGGAGACACTGGAGAAGCTTGTGGAGCGAGCAATGGTGGGTTTGATTTCGGCGAATGCTCCGGGGCAAGGAATGGAGAAGGAGCTGGTGAAGCATTCGGTCGCACTGCGTTCACTGCCGCAAGGATTGACAAGATCGAAACGAAAAGAGCCAGCGCCATTGCTTCCTCTGTTCTTCCGCGGTTTGACATCCAGCTTTATACTAATGCGATGCTCCTCGTTTAGTGAAGCTAAGATTATTTTCTTTTGATTATTTTGGGCAATTGGCAAATCTATGAACAGGAGCCAATGCTTGGAATCGATACGTGAATGCACGAGCTTGTCCGCAGCCCTAGACATCCATTCTCGTGCTCGTCACCTTCTCTTTCGAGAGGACGACACTTTCCTCACAAACAAGCTTATTGAAATGTATGGCAGATGCCGCAGTGTGGAGAATGCCCGCCGGATATTCGACTCCATGCAAATCAGAGATTCTTTTTCGTGGGACATGATGTTGTATGCCTACTCTAGAAACGGGAATACGAGCGAGGCAAGGGCCTTCTTAGATGAAATGCCCAAAAAGAGCCTAGTGTCTTGGAATGCATTGCTAACTGCATATGCCGAATATGGGCATCTTGATGAGGCCACTTATCTGTTCTACGAAATGCCAGAGCAGAACTTGGTAACCTGGACTGCCATGTTGGTTGCATATTCGAGGCATGGAAATCTTGAGAAGGCCAAGAATATTTTTGATTGGATGCCACAAAAAAACCAAGTGACGTGGAATGCCATGCTGGTTGCATATGCCCAATCCGGGCGTCTTGAGGAAGCTTACAAAATCTTTCGAAAGATGCCCGAGTGGAACCAATTGGCTCTCAACGGGCTCCTGTCTGCACACACGAACAAACGGGACGTTGTCCGCGCGAGAAGTTTCTTTGATGACATGGTGGAGAAAAACCTGGTGACATGGACTGCCATGTTGGCGCTATATGCCCAGCACGGGAAAATGACTCAGGCGAAGAAACTATTTGATCGAATCCCTCAGAGAAACCTTATCACCTGGAACGCAATGCTGAGCGTCTATGCTGCGAGCGGCGATCTCCAAAGTTCCCGCGAGCTGTTTCTAAAGAGCCCCGAGTGGGACTTGTTCTCCGCCACCACCATGCTCGTTGCTAATGCCGAGAGTGGAGACGTCGACACTGCCAAGGAGCTCTTTGATGGCATGCTTGAGCGGAGCCTCGTGACTTGGAACTCAATGCTGGCGGCCTACGCACAAAACAACCGGCTGGAGGAAGCCATCTTCACCTTTGAGAGAATGCCCGAGTGGGATCTTGTGTCCTGGACCACATTGCTCGTGGCTTATGCCCAAAAGGGGTTTCTCGACGAGGCCACGTCCATCTTTGCCGGGATGCCGCGTAGAGACTCCCTCTCCTGGAGCGCCCTTTTATCAGCGTACTCCCTGAACGGGCATATCAGCAAAGCCAGGAGAGTGTTTGACACCATGCTGGAGCCGAGCACCCTGTCCTGGAGCGCAATGCTCGCTGCTTACGCCCAGAAAGGCCACTTCCGCGACACTCTCGATCTCTTCGACTCCATGAAGCTGGTAGCTATGCCGGACGAGTCCTGTTTCCTGTCCGTCTTCCTAGCTTGCAGCCACGCCGGGAAAGTCTCCACCGGGACGTCACACTTCCTGGCGATGCTGCTCGACTTCCAGATCCAGGCCACCAAGCAGCACTACTGCTGCCTGGTTGATCTCTTCGGACGAGCCGGATACTTGGAAGTTGCTCAAGAGCTTATCGCGAGCATGCCGTTCGTCCCGGACGCTTTGGAGTGGAGAAGCCTGCTGGGTGCGTCGACGAGTCACCGGGATCTCCAGAACGGAGCCTGCGCTGCAAAGTTCCTCGGCAACTTGGATCCAGGAGACGCTTCTTCATATGTCCAATTGTCCAGCATCTATACCACGAGTGAGCTGAATCTGGCTGAACCTCGCCCAAATAGTTTCCAACACAAAACATTTTAATCAGGCTTGAGCTAGCAGGATCAAATCTGTGAGATGAAGAAAAACATCTTTGCTATTCTGAAACCAACCGGAGGTACCGAACTCCTCGGCACGGTGCATCCTCAGTTTCGGCCTGAGCCCCGTCAACCAGTTCTACAGCACTGGCTGCATCTACACCACAGGCAGTAGCGAGCTTGTGTAACCAGTGACGGTACTCCGGAAAAGACCTGGAGGATTGCAGAGTTGATGCATATAGCGCAAACTCCCCCAGCACAGGGTGCATGCTTGCGATGGTGATGGCAGCTGCGAGGTAGCCACCTGTGCATTTCCACCCCGCCATTTCAGCCAGGCTCAACACAAGGCTGACGCAGTCGTGAACCTCGTCTTCTTTATCCTTGTACGCCTCCTCGTGTGCACTCTTAAAGTCGACAAGCACAAACTGCGCCTGGGCCTCCACGTAGATGATGTTCTCAGGCTTCACATCCCTGTGCCTGCGCTCCAGGAGATAGAGATGATACAGAGCCAGAAGAATGTCGAAGGCTGCCTTGCATAGTTGCTGCTGCTGCTGCTGCTGCGAGAAAAGCATGCCCTTGACGCAGACGCCCACAGGCTTGAGAACGAGTCCTCCGGAATCCCCAAAGTCAGTCATCATATTCCCACTTGCAATAAACCAACCATACCAAACCATGGCTGGCAAGCTCGGGCATCTTCGTCCTGTACTCGACCTCAGCTTCTCCAGCTCCTCCAACGTCGGACGCTCGGCTGGAAACATGACGGTTTGCTCATAGAGGAGCTTGAGAACCAGCTGTTCCTGGCTACTATCCCCTTCCCTGATCACACTGTAAACCCCTGTAGATGCGGACGTGAAAAGCTGTTGCACTACCTCCAAACTCGCCTGCTGCCCATGGATATCTAGGAAAGTGGCCTTGAAGCCCGCTGGGAAGGGGCCAAAGTAGCCCCAGATGACGAAAGGCCTCACTTCGGTGCCTAGGTCCGGCATCAAGCGCCTAATTGCGCTCAAGCTCAAGCTCTGGTCTTGCAGTTGGCATACCCTGACGGTCGCCGGAACTAGACCATATAGCTGGGCGATCTCGTCTACTGGCAAAGGTTTACACACCGATACCCTCAAGGCTTTCAGCGCTTCCACATTCCTGGCCTGGGGCCTGAAATACACCACCGCCATCCCAGACAGCCCTAAGTCATGCAATGAATTGTTATCATAGAAACTTGTTAAGCCAAGCCGTCACTGATAATAGTCAGGCCGACATCAGTTATTTCCTTTATAACCTGCTTGAATTCACTTGCCCCGGCACCACATTCAAAACACCTCTTGCCGAAGACTGGTCATCACGTTGAAGTTAAGCGTTGTGAGCATATCCCTCACATTCACATCCTGATCAGACTTGTGAGGGCAGCTAATAGCTCAATTCCAAGCAAACGAATCAATCCTCTTCTGCTTCACTGTGCACAGTTTTCACATGCAAATGTCATCTCAAGTCCTGCGTCAGCAATCTGGGCTCAACTTCCGGGGTTTCAAACGTGCTCATTTCACAAAAGTGGACCACCTTCATCAATAAAAGTCCTTTAAAGACTCATTGATCTACCATTCAGTTGACCAGCCCAGCTATGGCGGAACAACAGAGATCTCTCCGAGTGGCTATTCCAATCTTCGACCACCTGACGGCGCTCGACGCTGTTGGCCCTTACGAAGTTCTCAACGCGGTTCCCGGCGTATCTGTGGTGTTTGTGAGTGACAAGCCGGGTCTAATCTTGGCTGGTGAGGCCCAGGATTCCCATCTGGGCCTCCGGGCCACCGCGTCGTACAAGGATGTTCCACATCCGGATGTGATTGTAGTTCCTGGTGGGCCTCCTACCAAGATCCCGCTGCAGCACAAGCCACTTCTCGACTGGATCCGCAAGGTGAGTGCCTGCAGCTTTGTCCATCTCGGCTGGGAAACGGGCTCTTTGCTTGCAGGCTCACGAGACGACCCTGTTCACCACTTCTGTTTGCACCGGTGCGCTGATCTTAGGATCTGCCGGACTTCTCACCGGACTGGAGTGTACCACGCATTGGAGCTCCTACAAAAAGCTCGAGGAGTTTGGTGCCAAGGCCTCCGCAAAGCGCTACATACAGCAGGTCAGGTGTTCCAAGAAAACTTAGAGAGAAAAAGCTTCACAACCTTGTGGTGTGTTGTCTTCAGGGGAAGATTATCACTGCTGCCGGCGTCTCGTCGGGGATCGACATGGCTCTCTACCTCGCCGCTCTTCTGAAAGACAAGGTTATTGCAGAAGGAGTTCAGCTGCTGGTGGAGTATGATCCCCAGCCACCATTTGACTGCGGATCTCGGGCGAAAGCTAGTCCGGAAGTCTTGGCATTGCCATTTATCCGTCCGCTCTTGGATTGAGAAACATGTCTGTGTGACAAAAAGTGAATAACAGAACCTTTCATATATCGATGACTCTTGAGAGCTTCTGTATACGGTTCAGCAAGAAATCTCCCTGCTTGATGGTGGACTGGTAGAGAGCATTCTTGGCGTCGGGTCTGTTAGTCTCTAGCACACCGGCCACTTTGTCAATTTTGCAGTTCAGCTTCCCCTCGGCTATGAAACGTGACAACTCACTGTAAGAAGAAAAGAGAATCCAGGCTAGATTTGAGTCCCAAGAGAAGGAAACCGAGGTACTTACGTATCGAGGAAGCTTATGCTCACTCCGAAAGCCTTGGCCATGGCGTCCATTGTCACACTTTTGTACGACTCCAGGAACTGTGCATAGACCACCTTGCGCACTTCTCTCATGTAGTATCGGAAATGTGGCGCTAAATAGCGGTCCAAACGAACTTGCTCTGTAAGCCGAGCTGCAACAGCAGAATAGTTACTACACAGAAAAGCCAGGCAAGGATCTTACAGAAAGCGAAGAAGAACGTTTTGTACTGGCAATTGTAGAAGGCGTTTAGAAAATCCGACAGATGTGGAATCTTCTCAATGACAGTAAGAACCTCCGGAGCATCCACGACCTGCAAGAAAATGAGGTACTGAACAGATACTTACAAACTGCTCATCCATACCTTTTGCTTCAGAGCAACGCGGTCCAAGGAGATGATACTTGTCACCACGCTGTAGAAGACGAAAGTTTCATACGAGAACAGCTCGTAAGTTGTAAACGTGGAGATGGAGTCCAGGAACAACTCCGCAGCTTTCTTGAAGTTCCGGGTCGCCATGCAGTAGAGCCCCTCGTAAACTTTCAGGCGGTTCTTTCTTTCCCAGTCACCGCCCTCCTCGAACAAGCTGAGGTCAAACATGTCAGTTCCAAGTAAACAAAAAATCACAAACATCCCACCTCTTAGCCTTCTCAATGTTCTTGGAGATGAGATCACAATCTAAGAAAAAGAACGCCAGCCTTAGTGTGTGAAACACGAGATCCATCTTGTGACCAACGGCAACAGTTTTTGCCTCTGTAATCTTCAGCTGCTCTAGCGTCAGCTCCTGGCAAGAAAAAGAGACAGAGAATAATTAAACGAATCCACAAAAATCGTGCGTTTCTTACCTTCTCACCAATACGAATGAAGAACAGCGCTTTTGCCAAAAGAGCGTCTCTAACTTCACTTTCTCCCAGGTTCTCTTCGGCATCAGCGATTCTAAGGAAGAAAAGAGAATGCGAGGCGTTTGATTCAAGCAAAGAGACAGAAACGCGAGCTACTTACTTCTCATCCAGCTTCCTGACCTCCTCGTCGATCTTGGCCCGCATTTTCGCCAGCAGCGCGTGATCGATCTCCCACCCAAACTTGTGACACCAGCCCTCGTAGGGGCCAGCCATATCTACACACCGCCATGAGGCTGGAATCCCTCAAAACCTCACCGAAATCTCTTACCGTCTTCTCTCGCTGCCGCAATCACATCCTCCTTGAGCTGGACCTTCTCGATGTCTGGAATCTCCGGAGCTGAGAGCAAGAAGAGCTTACGTGCGAGCTCCAGCCGAGGATCCTGGCACGCCTCCTTGTCCGCCTCCATGGCGCTCACCAGTAGAAAAAATTTAGGGCTTGAGCTAACCTAGCTAAACACTATAAACCCCAAGTTCTCGATCGGCATGGGGAGATGCAATCGTCCTGGAAGCGCTGGAATCACAATGTGAGTCTTACATTTTCCAGTAGCAGCTCTTCATTCTCTGTCCGCTTCTCGAGCTCACGAACGAGCTCTCTCGAATTATCTCCGAGATCCATCGCCGAGATCCTTGCGGAGATCAAAGCCTGTAGCCGATCCAGGGATTTGGAGAGAGGGAGGAGACTTCATGCCCGATTATCTGGAGGAGGCCGAGGATTCGAGACGAACGCCTTCGTGGCGAACAGCTTGGTGGACATGTATGCAAAGTGTGGAAGCCTGGTGGACGCTAGAAAGGTTTTCGCGGGGATGGGACTACACAAGACAGTGGTGTCGTGGAACGCACTGATACAGGGATATGTGGAGAATGGCCAAGCAGAGATGGCCTTGAAGGTCTTCTCGGCCATGCAAGAACAAGGATACTCTCCAAATCCTCGAACTTTTGGTGCTGCTATGAAGGCCTGCTCCATCCTCGCGGCAAAAGAATCGATCACACAAGTTCTAGACCGTGGAAAGGAGCAAGACAACAACGATGAAGAAGAAGTAGAAGCTTTTGGTGTGAAGCTGGAGTCTCTGAGCAAAGGAATGGAGATTCACTCCCAGGCAGCGGGATTGAAAGGGTGTTTGGAGGACATCTTCGTTGCAAACACACTGGTGGACGTGTATTCCAAGTGTGGCAGCATGAGTGATGCTCGGCGAGTTTTCGACCGGATGGAGTGCCACGACGTTGTCTCGTGGAACTCGCTGCTGCTCGGATATGGCGAGAACGGGCAGGGGGAGCTGGGGCTCGAGCTCTACGTAGCCATGAGAGATCAAGGTTGTCCTCCATGTCCTCGAACTTTTGTCAGCGTGCTCAAAATCTGTGCTTCTTTGGCAGGCGACGAATATGGCAAGCCGGTAGCCGGGGAGCTGGTCAAGCTGAAGTCTCTGGAGCGAGGTATGGTTGTTCATTCTCATGTTGCTAGCGCTGGTTGTGACGACGTTTTCTTGTCTAGCACCCTGGTCGATGTCTATGCAAAGTGTGGGAGCTTGAGGGACGCTCGGGCCGTGTTTGACAAGATGGATTTCCACGACGTGGTTTCATGGACGGCTTTGATCCTGGGCTACGCAGAGAACAGCAGGCCTGAGCTCGCGCTTGAGCTGTTTCTACACATGGAAACGCTAGCAAATGCGCCGACTTTCGCCGGAGCAGTCAAGGCTTGCTCGTTTCTGGCACTTGAGGAGGAAGGCAAGCTAGTCGGAATGGATAACAGGGGGACTGTCAGGATCAGAGCTTTGGAGAAGGCCATGGCTATTCATTCCCAGGCGGCAAGCAGTGGCTACTTATCGGACATCTTCCTGCAAAGCTCTCTGGTAGATTTGTATGGGAAATGTGGGAGCATGCTTGACGCTCGCCTCGTCTTTGACAGGATGCAACACAGGGACGTTGTGTCGTGGAACTCTTTGATCCTGGGATACGTAGAGAACGGTGAAACTCACCTGGTTTTCGATCTACTGGCTCGGTTGACAGAAGATTTCGCACCAAATGATACCAGCTTTGTTGCTGCTATCAAGGCTTGCGCAACTCTAGCAACGACTCACGACGGGAATGGGAGGCCTCTCAAGGGGGAGGCTCTGGAAAGAGGCACTAGCATTCATGCTCAGGCAAGGGACAGGGGGTTTGAGAAGGACAAGTTCGTCACAAGCACGCTGATCGACATGTACGCGAAGTGTGGAGCCTTGGAAGACGCTCGCAGAGTTTTGGAGAGGGCGAGGCCGAGAGATTCAGTGCCTTGGACTGTGCTGATGCTGGGATACGTAGACAACGGAGAGGAGAGGCTAGCACTGGATCTCTTTGCTGCGATATTCGGCTCAAGCAGCGCTCAAACGAGTTCTCCGGCGTTCGTCGCTGCTCTCAAGGCGTGCATCGGCTTGGCTGCACGAGAAAGCACCGACGCAAAGGTGGCGAAACTGGAGAGCCTGGAGAAATGCATGGAGATCCACAGGGAAGCTGCGAGATGCGAGGTTGAGCTGGACATCACCTTGGAGAGCACTCTGGTCGACGCCTACTCCAAGTGTGGAAGCTTGCTAGACGCCCGCATGGTGTTCGACAGGATGGAGGCTCACAGCACAGTATCGTGGACGGTCATGCTCAACGGCTGCACGGAGAATGGAGACGAAGAGATGGCGCTAGATCTGTTCGAAAGTATGGAGCTCCAACTCCAGCTCGAGCCAAATCCAGTCACCTTCGTCGCTGTGCTCAAGGCCTGTGCTGCTGCCGCTGCCAAAGAAGCTGGCAAGGAGATCGACGATGACAAGTTCGTGAAGCTCCGGTCGCTGGACAAGGCCATGGCGATCCACTCACGAGCTCGAGCGAAGTTTGGTGGTGGTGGCGAGCTCGACCTCGTGGTTGCAAACACGGTGGTCGATCTCTACGCGAAGTGTGGGAGCATGACAAGCGCCCGGGGGGTGTTTGACGCGATGAAGCTCCACAGCGCGGCTTCGTGTGCTTCGCTTGTCCGGGGCTACGCTGAGAACAACGAAGGGGAGCTGGCTCTGGAGCTCTTCTGGCGGATCAAGGAGAGATTTTTAGCGGTGGAGGGCGGTGCCGGATTCGTGGCGGCGCTCAAGGCGTGCTCGAGCCTGGTGGATCTGAGGGGCTGCCGGGCGATCCATGGCGAGATCTCGCGGCACGGCCTCCTGATCGTGGTGGAGAGCTGCCTGGTGGACGCGTATGGCAAATGCGGCAGCACGACCGATGCGCGGCGCTGCTTCGAGGCCGTGGCGAGGAGGCGGCTGATCGATTGGAACGCTCTCATGGCGGCGCACTCCCGCCAGGGCGATTGGCGCGCGGTGGCGGAGCTCTTCCACGCGATGCGCGACGAGGAGCTCGCGCCCGACGCGGTGAGCTGCCTGTGCGTGCTCACGGCGCTGAGTCACGCCGGGATGGTGGAGCTCGGCCATGGCTTCCTCGGCGCGATGGAGACGAAGTACGGACTCCGCCCGGGCGTGGAGCACTACACGTGTACGGTGGACATGCTGGCGCGCGCGAACCGGCTGGACGCCGCGGTGGCCGCCGTACGGGGGATGCCGTACGAGGCCGACACGGCCACGTGGACGGCGGTGATGGCCGCGTGCTGCCGGTGGAAGAACGCGGCCGTGGCGGAGGTCGCGTTTGGCGCGCTGCGGGCGATCGATCCGGGCGATGGCGCGGCATTCTCGCTCATGGCGAATCTCTACGGGAGCTTGGGTATGTGGGAGGAGCAGTCGCGGATCGAGGAGCTGGGGAGGAGCTGCGGCGCGCCGAGGAGAAGTGGGCGGAGCTGGTGGATCGATGATAAAACGGGGATCCTCCACCGGTTTGGGGCTGGAGATGTGGGCTGCGGCGACCGCGCGATCGCGGCCAAGCTCGCGGAGATGAGGGGCTGGATGATGAGCGGTGATGTGGGCGGGATCGCGCACAACATTGGCGAGGAGGACAAGAGGGGCTTCGTCCTGTGCTCGCACAGCGAGAGGATCGCCATGGCGTGCGCGCTGGTGAGCTCGCCGCCCGGGACGACGATCCGGATCGGGAAGAACCTGCGCGTGTGCGGCGATTGCCACGCGGTGAGCGCCGTCGCGTCGCGGATGGAGCGGCGCCGGATCGTGTGCCGCGACGCCAGGAGGTTTCATGTCTTCGAGGGCGGGAAATGCTCGTGTGGAGATTATTGGTGAATCGCGGGCTGACACGTGGCGCAATGTCTGGTGAATCGCACTTTGGCACGTGTCAACATGTTGGTGAGTCGGGCGCCAACACGTGGAAAATTTTGGTTGAATCGTGCTTTGGACACGTGGTCGCGGTACATGAGGCGCATTGAAGAGAGACCACTTGGCCGAAGATGAAGCTATAGGGTTATTCCATTGTTGGATAGCGCGACAAGGAGCAAACAAGGTGAGATCATCTCGAGTTTTTTGGCGGTAGCTCTCTCGCGTGATCCTCGCATCGATCGAATCTAGGACAAGGTAAGATCTCTCCCAATCGTCCTGTTCCAACGCTTGGATTCGCGAATCGCGTGTATAGGAGGCGCAATGCAGCCACACAGAGAGGACTCGGCTCCCAATGCCGCCGCAGTGAGCGTGGAGACGCGGCTGGACAACTCGGAGCTCGGCCCGGGCATCGCCACGGGCTCCACGGTGGACAGGACCGACATCTCCACCGCCTCCTCGGCGGGGCTCACGGCAGCAAAGAAGAGCTTCCCCCCCAAGGCCCCGCAGCCGCGCAAGGGCGACGAGGAGGAGATCAAGAGGGGCGGGAGTGGGATCCAAGGCAGCAGCGATGGCGTTGGCGGCGGGCTCCAGAGGGAGGACTCGCTGGAATCGGCAATGTCCAAGACATCGTCGTCCTCCACCACCACCATCTCGCCCATTGTGCCGGTGACGAAAGAGGCGTACGGTGGCGGGATCTATGGCAAGGACGACGAGCCCAAAGAGAAGCGGAGCAATGGCGGAGGTGGTGGTGGCGGCGCCGCTCCTAAGGTGTACGAAGATGGTAGCGCGATTCCGTACATCCAGTAGTATAGAGAAAATACTCTCTCTCTCTCTCTCTCTCTCCTGTGTTCTTACTCTTTTTTTTTGTGGGATTTTTTTTCTCTCTCGAAGCGTTGGTTGACAGCTTTTCGCTGATCAAAGTCAGAATATGTCTGTGATTACGCTTGATCTTGACATGCAAACGAACTAACAATTCTTTTGGCGATTCATGCGCTCTGATCCAACCGCGGATTAAAGAAACTCGCTGGCGAGCGAGCAGACAGTGGAACATGTGCAGCGCGCTCGCTTTTGGCTTTCAAGAGAGAATTGGAAGAACAAACAAGGCCTTGAATCCAAACCAAGGAATACAAAAAGGAAAGAACGAGCAGACAATCCATCTGAGCCACGACGCCTGGATTCCTGTGCATTGAATTGGCCATCATCTTCCTGCCACCATCCCTTCCAAATGGGAAGCTTTTGGCGATTGGGACACGCCCCACCTTTTCTCCTCCAAGAGAGGAGGGACCCAAATGGTTTGGTGTGTGATGCTTGTCTTTTGGCTAGCAAGGTCAGACGGTGCCAAGCTACACAGCTACACGTTTCTTTCTAGTCTCGCAATTCCTCCTCCCTTCTATCGTATTCTCCTTTCCATTTTGCCGCTTAAAACCATCGCCACCCCCTTTAGCCAGCGCTATTTGTTTTTGGCCATTTTTGCGGATCAATGATCATGGACCACCACTTAGCAGAAGTTTCTTCCTCTTCCCGAGTATATAAGTAGCGGGGCCTGGCTAGCACTCTCTAGAACAGGGTAGAGAAGAAGAAGAAGAAGAAGAGTGTACCACTCTAGAGCTTTGCATTTTCCAAGTTCCAAGAGCCCAAGCTTTCCGGAGAAGAAGTCTAGAGCGTTTGCATTTCCAAGCTCGAACGATGTCAACTATGGCGAAGATCCACAACGTCCGGATCCTCGGCCAAGGCCGAGAGCTCGTGGTCCTCTCCCACGGCTTTGGAGCCAGCCAAGGCGCGTGGGAGGGGCTCCTCCCGCATCTCTTGCCGCGCTACTCCGTGCTGCTCTACGATCTCCGGGGCCATGGAGGAGCTACTAGCGACGATGACTTTGATGCGTCCAGGTACCGGAGCATGGAAGGCTTTGCCGAGGATCTCATCGCCATCCTGTCCGAGCTCCAGCTCGGCAAGTGCCTCTACGTCGGCCACTCCATGTCGGGCTTGATTGGCTGCCTCGCCGCCGCCGCTCGCCCCGACCTCTTCTCCAAGCTCGTCCTCCTCGGAGCTTCGCCCAGGTACTACTGCTACTCTTGTTCTTCGAAGTTCCCTTCAAAGTCCTCGATTGATCTTGCTCCATCCAGGTACATCAATGACGCTGGCTACGAGGGAGGCTTCGAGCAGCAGGACGTTGACGAGCTCCTGGCCGCGATCAAGCGAGACCATGCCTCGTGGCTGCAAGGATTCGCCCCTGCCGCTCTGGGACCCGAGGCGAGCGAAGAATGTATCCAGCGCTACATGGCCTTCCTGTCCGTCGTAAAGCCCGACTTCATGCTGCTCATAGCCGAGACCATCTTCAAGAGCGACCTTCGCAAAGTACTGTCGCTCGTCACTGTGCCGTGCCATGTTATCCAGACCAAGGAGGATTTCGCGGTGCCGCAAGCCGTGGCCAAGTATCTCCACCAGCAGCTGGGAGGGGAGCTCGAGATCCTGGATGCCCGCGGACACCTCCCGCACGTCACGCATCCTCAGATCCTGGCTCCGGTTCTCACGAGGCTTCTGAGCGAGGAGTAGTCGAGCAGAGTGTCGAGTGTGAGTCCATGGATCCAGTTGCTAGATTGCCTGGAAAGTTTCTGCAAAAAAGTCTTTGCTACGAGTTTGTCGTCTTAGGATCTGGAAAGCTACCTCGAGTGATGGAAGTGAATCGATTGCAATCGTAAAAGCTGTGTAGGAAAGGAAAGGAGGTCGCCTCCACTCGACGGTGCTGCTAGAGGACAAGCTGCGCCGGAGGAATAGTTCGTCACAGAGACTGTAACAGAGCTTTCAATGCTGCTGGAAACATAAAAACAAGAGCTTTGCTTACCACTGTTTGTCATCTTTGTCCGTAAAGTCTGCTACGAAAAGAAGGAAAAGAACAAACAAGAACTTTAATGCTGATAGAGGAAAAAAACCAGCTTTTTGTTACTTTACATTGTACCCTCCTGCGAATCAGTGAGTGGGTCTTCGCTGCTGAATGAAAAAGCACTGCGTTATTGATCGGAAGAAACAAAATGTAGAAAGGAAAAAGTACTTACGGGTATCCAAGATCATCAAGCTTTCCACTCAGCATCCGCGTGTTCTTCTTTTGACTCCAAGAGGTGGTCCTCGACAATCTTGACGAGATCAGTATCACCGCTCTTGGTCATGCGGTGGCCCCTCTCGCTCGCAACCTCCACAATCCTGCGTGCCGAGTCGGTCCTCTCGGCGTCACACAGCGCGGCAACCAGCCCCGCGAGCGCGCGGCATATGTTATCCCCGGCCACCGTCACCTCCATCCCGTGGTACATACCGCAGGCCTCCTCCAGCTTCCCGGCTCGGCACAGGCTCGTGATAACCATGCTGTAGGCCGCCGCGTCGGGCCCCTCGCGGCTTGACTTGATAAGCTCGAACAGCTTCACGGCCGAGTCGAGCATCCCGGCCTTGGACAGGCCGTTCATGATGATGCTGTAAGTCACCACGTCCGGCGAGCAGCGGCTCTTGAGCATCATCTCGTAGACCCTGTGAACCTCGTCCATCTTGCCGCTCTTGCACAGCCCGTCCATGACGCTGTTGTAAGTCACGACGTTCGGCGGCGACCCGGCCGCCTCCATGAGCTCCAGCAGCCGGAACGCGTCCTGGAACTTCCTCTCCTTGCACAGAACGTTGATGAGCGTCGAGTAAGTCACCACGTCCGGCTTCACGCCGTTCCTCCGCATGTCCTCGAGCAGCTCCAAGGAAGCGTCAAACTGGCCCGCCCGGGCGAATGTGTTGATGAGCATGCTGTAAGTCACCACGTCCGGGACGACCCCGGACTGCCGGAGCTCCTCCACAGACTTGCGAGCTCGGTCCAGGTAGCCCGCCTTGCACAGCGCGTCCAGGTAGCCGGGATACGCCGCTGCCTCGAGCGAGCCACCTTTTCGTGCCTTCTCCTCCTCGAAGAAACGGATCACCCGGTCCAACTCCCCGTGCTGCCGGAAGCCATGCACGAGGTTGCTGTAAGTCACCTCGTTGGGACGGACTCCCATCTGTCGCATCTCCTCCATGAACTTGAGCGCGTCGTCGAGCCGGCTGGCCTTGCACAGCCCCCCGACGATCGTGGTGCACGTAATCACGTCCGTCGGGAGCTCCAGGCTGCGCTGCTCGATCATCACACGCAGCGCCTCGTCGATCTCCCCGGCCCGGCTCAGGTGCTGGATGAGCGTGCCGTAAGTTATCGGGTTTGGCTTGCAGCCGTTTCGCTTCATCTCCTGGAACACCTCGCGCGCCAGCTTCGTCTTGTTGCTCCGGCACAGCCCGTTGAGCAGGATGGTGTACGTGAAAACGTTTGGAACGATGGACTCCTCCACCATCTTCTCCAGAACTTTGTACGCGTCCATGACTCTGGAAGCCCGGCACAAGCCCGTGATGATCCCGTTGTAGATGAAGAGCGTGGGAGTGTAGACGCCGCTGAGCTCCCGGACGAGCTCCAGTGCCTGGTTCGCCATCCCGGCGCCGCAAAGGCCGTCCACGACGAGCTTGTACGTGGTCTCGCCATAGACCACGCCTCTGGACGCCAGGAGCGTGAAGAGCCGGACCACCTCGGAGAACTTGGAGCGCCGGAAGAGCTTCGTGGCGAGGAGCGTGAAAGCCTGCGAGTCGACTTTAACGCCAGCTTCCACCACCGATCTCTCCAGGAGCTTGGCCGCCATCTCCAGCTTGTCCGCGCGAGCGAGCGCGTCCACCACCACGCTGCAATCCACGCTCGCCACCTTGAAGTTGTGATCCAGCAGCGCTTGCAAGCATCCGGCGGCGACGTCGATCTTGTCCGCCTTGCAGAGCGCGTAGAGCAGCGGGTGGTGGTCGGCGGCGATGCCCCGCGAGAGCGCCTCGCGGGAGAGCTCGAGAGCGTCGTCAAAGCGGCGGTGCCGCGCAAAGGCGTCGATCATGCTCGAGTAGGCCTCGGGCGGCACGGTGGCGGCACTGCGCACGTAGCAGAAGATCTCCCCGGCCTCGTCGATCTGGCCGAGCTCGACGTAGGCGCGGAGGAGCGCGACGAGGCTGTGGATGCTGGGCTGGAGGCCGTCGCTGCGCATGGCGCGGAGGAGGAGGAGCGCGGCGGCGGCGTCGCGGGCGTCGCAGAGGCGGGCGATGAGGGACTCGTAGGCGGCGGCGGAGTGGCGGTAGCCGGAGGCGCCGCTGGTGGAGCGAGCCCAGTGGAAGAACTCGAGGCCTTTCTTCCGGCTGGCGCGGCGGATGATCTCGAGGACGACGTCGTGGGAGAGGTAGCGCGCGAAGGGAGCGAGCGCGGCGGCGTTGAGACCCACCTCGGTAGGATTGAGCGCCGAGAGGATGCTCTGGACGACGAAGGCGAATGCGTCGCCGCCCCCGCCGCCGCTGGCGCAAGTGGTGGAGCTGCTTGATCGTCGCGCCATTGCTGGAGTGCGGCTGGGGCGACGAGCACATAGCCTTGTCAAGAGCGCAGCGCGCATGGGCGAGAGATGTGGTGGCACTCATAGCCTAGCTAGCAAGGAATGTGGCTACCTGTGATCACCCCCGGCATTGCTCTTCCTCTTCCTCTTCCTCTTGCTCGTAGGGTGTAGGGTTTTACGATTTTAGGGCATATCGTTAAAAATGAAAGAGTGCGAATCGAACGGTCGATCAATGTCCTAGAAATTTTAAAATCTAGATTTTAGGGTTTATGGGGCAGGAATTTTTAGACGACTCTTAAGTCTTGTATTAATCAACTTAGGTTTTAGGTTGCGCATACCTTCTTTGCTATTATGAGAGAAGGCTCAGGTCTAGCTTGACACAATCCAACCAACACTTCATCAAAACAATCACGCTTTTCACCATAGTTGGCCGTCAAAACTGATTTGAACTTTTAGCTAAATGGCAAGGAGACCTTTTCAGCCTGCACGCTCGAGCTCGCTCTTCTCGACTTTAGCTCCTGCGCCGCCAGGCAGCTCTCCGGGAACACATTCTTGCCCGCCACTCCATACGCATTGCTACACCTCGCATCAGCATTCGCCCCCTTGGTTGCCTGAGTGATCTCCACGTTGTCCAGCTCGATTCCGTCGCAGCCCACAACTTGGCTACACCTGAGCGTGATCGCCGTCTTGGTCTTGGAGGTACCGCTGATGTTCTTGTACCTCACGCCACTGATGCTCACGCCACTCACCTCCTCTGCCGCCGCCTCCGCGCCACAGTCGTGCTCGTGCGCGTCGCAGTAGGCCTGGTCGATGATGATGGGGTTGGCCACCTCGTCCATCCTCACGTCCTCGAAGCTCACATCGCTCACCGCGCCATGCCCATTCTTGTAGCTCTTGATCCTCACTCCGTTGGTGGTTCCAATCAGATTAGCGTTGCGGACTCTCACACCGGACACCACGTCGCCACCTCCCAAGCTCCCAATGCTGATTCCATGGCCGGGGCCGCACACGATGGAGCTCACGTCGATGTTGGAGGAGCCCCCGACGATGGAGACGCAGTCGTCACCCGCGGCAACCATGGCGTACTTGATCACGACGTCCTGCGAGTTCGTGATGTGGATACCGTCGGTGTTTGGGCTGTTGCCGGGGGAGTTGATCCGCAGCCACTGCGCGGCTACGTGCTGGCAGCCATTAAAGTTAACGTGCATGCGCGGGCTATTGACCACCTCCAGGCCGTTGACCCGGAGGTTCTTGACCGTGTTGAACTCGATCGAGGTCGGGGCTTTCCTACACGACGTCGACCCCGGCGTGGGCTTGCAGGCCCGAGACCACCACGATGTGCCGTTTCCGTCCAGCGTCCCGGTTGCCTCCACCTTGAGGCCTTCGAGGTTCTTGATCTGGATCCAGGGGGCGGAGTTGGAGTTGCTCCACGAGGATGCGTCCGGGGCGTGGATGTTGCCCTCGATACGTATCTTTGTGTTGGGCTTGCATGGGCCCTGGAGTGAGACCTGGGCGATGAGGAACGTCTTGCCACCGGGGATGAGAAGCGTTGCGTCTGGAGATTTGCATGCATCTTGCCATGCTCTCTCGAGGGCTTGCGTGTCATCTGTGACGCCGTCACCTTTGGCACCGTAGTCTTGCAAGTTGAAGGTCGTGCCACCGATCAGGCAAGAGGGCTTGGAACTGGAAGCGGTCTTGCTCCCTGATGCAAGAGCTGCACAAGTCCATACCATGAACAACAATAGAATTCCTTTGAACATTGCTACGTGAAACCCTACTATAGAGGATGTTATTATATAGTTTTTGTCACCTTTTTCACAATTAGTGGATATTCTGGTCTAACATCCTAAATAAGATGCGTGTTATAGAAAACTTTTCCCTATAAGTTCAACTTACAGGTCGAATATATTTTCTATACAAAATATATCACTTTTTTAGAGAGAGAGAGAGATTGGGTGTTGAGTCTCTGAGTAGAGAATGATGCTTTGTGGCGATCTGGCTCAAGTGGATCTAACGTGGGTTTTATATTCAAATATCTGGCTGCAAAGAAGATTCTGCAAGACTCTATTTCATAAGATTCTTTGGTTTGTAATGAATATACTAAGTATAATCGAATGGTGGCTTGTTTTTCTCTTTATTATAGGTAAAAGATGTCTATCACGTTCTATATGACGTGAGGCTCAACTCCCTGGGATCTTTTGGGCTGAGAGGGATCTCCCTAGTCAGGCTGCTTTGTGCCACTTGGCTATCTACTTGCGTAGAACGGAAGAGATTCGGGTGGCTGAAACAAGAGAGTGTAGGGTGTAGTAAAATTCCTTTTGTTCCTTCCAAGTGATCTTTATCTCGAGATAGGCTTTAACAGATTATTGCCAATACAATTTCTCTTTCTCTTGGTAATAAAACACTTATACAAACTCTAGATTTGATTGAGTTTCTCAAGTTGCAATACTCCACATACTAAATGGATAAAAAAAATCTACTGTAAATTAAATATAAAACCTACATGGACTAAGAATTTTTTAGTTAGTTTAAGCCAAATGTTTGAAAAAACTCTAATCAAGTTGTTTCTTTTTGTTAATAGGGTTATTACTAGAAAAAATTTCTGGGGGAGAAAGAAAAAGAATCATAATGTTTCCTTTTCACTCTGCTTTCGACTTTCGTTGCCTTCGTTCGGCTGCCGACATCTTTCGGCCCACAAACTTGAGCAGCTCGTCGATGAGAATGACGGGAAAGGAGACGATGATCACCAGCAGCCACTCGTTGAAGCTGAGCGGCACGATGCCAAAAATGTTGGCCAGAAACGGCACGTAGAGGATGAGAAAGTGGAGGCCAAACGACACCGACATGGCCAGGAGCAGCCACGGGTTCACCCACGGCGGCATCACCAGCAAGCTCCCGTCCTCGGACAGCGCGTTGAGCGAGTTGAACATCTCGATCGCCACCAGCACCGACAGTGAGAGCGTCGACGCCTTCACCTTCCCGTCGGTGAAGTAGTCGCACGGGTTCTTGTCGAACGAGAACACCTGTGACCCCGCCGCGAATGGAGCCACCTCGAAGCCTTGCCACGACGGGCACTCCCCCCAGCTGGTTAGCTGCGAGAACGTCACGAGTGTGTGTCCATCCCCGGAGATATCCAGCCCCAGAAAGGAGCCGTGTGTGTACCACAGCGCGAAGATCCCCACTGTTGCCAGTCCGACGTAGAGGCCGATCACCTGGAACATAGATTCTTTCGTGAGACAAGACGCGGATGGGATTTTCTTGCTACGTACCATGTATCGGAAAAACACCCAGGAGTTGATGAGTTTGTCGTCGCTTCTACGGGGAGGCTTTCTCATGATGTCCACGTCAGGGGGATTGAATCCGAGAGCTGTAGCGGGCGGTCCATCGGTGACGAGATTAACCCACAGCAGTTGCACGGGAGTTAATCCTTCCGGCATGCCAACAGCAGCCGTCAAAAATATGGAAGCGACCTCGCCAATGTTGGAAGAGATCATGTATCTAACGACGAAAAAGAAAGTTGTCAGCAAATATCAAATCGAGACACACTAAGCGCACCTGATGAATGCTTTCATGTTGCTGTAAATCGATCTTCCTTCGGCAACGGCACTCACAATCGTGCTGAAGTTATCGTCAGCGAGAACCATGTCTGCGGCCTCCTTGGCAACCTGCAAAGTAGAGTTAGATCTTACCGCAAAGTGAAAAACCAGTGAAAAACCAATGAAAAAAGTATACCTCAGTTCCAGTTATTCCCATTGCAATGCCGATATCGGCGAACTTCAAGGCCGGAGCATCATTCACACCGTCGCCAGTCATAGCCACTACTTCGCCAGCTTCCTTCAGCATGCGCACAATTTCTTGCTTGTGTCTGGGCTCGGCACGAGAAAACACACGGCCACCTTTTCCGGAGAGGACTTTGCGTCGTTGATCATCAGGAAGGGATAAAAAGTCTCTTCCCGTAAAACTTTTCCCACTCAGATTTTCACCTGAATAGAAAATCCCGATCTCGCGGCAGATTGCTTCTGCCGTCTTTTTGTTGTCACCAGTAATGACCATAACCTGAATGCCAGCTTCTTTACAATCCTCGATGGCAGCCTTAACTTCCCCACGAGGGGGATCCTGAATAAAAAAACATAACGAGGTTACAACTTGTTCTCCCAGTAAATAGAAAGTACATACCCGCAAGCCAACCATCCCAACGAAAATAAGATCGCTTTCAATATCCGGGTAGTTTGCAGGATCTTGAAGCACTACATGAGCAGGGTGAGTCGCACCATTGTAGCTAGAAAAATCACCAAGATTATCCTTGTATGCAAAACCCAGGCATCGCAAGGCTTTGGAGCTCATCGAGTCCAGTTTTTTTATCCATGCGTCACGTGAATTCGAGTCGAGGCTGACAATGGAGCCATCTTTGAGTTGCAGATACGAACTCCTTTCCAGCAAATTTTCTACAGCGCCCTGAGAAAAAAGAGAGAATTTTTTTAAAATACGAGCTGCTACAAATGCTGCATTTCTTTACCTTAACAAGAAGACGATTCTTTCCAGAAGTATGGGCAATAACACTCATAGATTTGCGAAACCGGTCGAACTCAAGCGAAGCCAATACTGTTGAGCGAGAATTCCACCAGTCGCAGCAGCCTGCAAACAAATACATGAGGACCTCTAACAGAAAGAAAACAGACAGAGCTTACTCAATTCAACCACAGAATGGTCCACAATGTGGTTCTGATAATCAGAATTATAGTTGTGTGGAAGCTTCATCTTCTCAACCAAAACCTTAAGAAAAAAAAAAAAAAAAAACAACAAAAAAGGTGAGCCAAAAGTTCTGCAAAAGACATTCTGAATACCTTTAGAGCAGCTTCAGTTGGCAAGCCCGTGGCACGAAACTGGTTCCCCTTGCACATAATCCCCGCGTCATTGCAGACAGCCGCTATCTCTGCAAGGGACTGTAGATTCTTGCTCATCATCCCCGGATTGTAGCCCGTGATGCCTCCATCTTCCGGGTTATACGTCGTTCCCTCCACTCTAAACTCCTCCATGTCAGCCGGGTGGATTCCACTCCCCACGAGCTGCATCACGGACATCTGGTTAGTCGTCAGCGTCCCCGTCTTGTCAGAACATATAACGGTGGTACAACCGAGCGTCTCCACGCTCGGAAGCTTGCGAACTATCGCGTTTTTCTGTGCCATCTTCCTAGTTCCCAGAGCCAGGCACGTCGTGATCACCGCCGGGAGGCCCTCGGGAATGGCAGCCACCGCCAGTGCCACCGCGATCTCGAAGTAATACGTGCACTTCTCAAAGGAGAACCTGACGTTCGTCGGCCAGCCATCAGCGTAATCCCACGTCAGGAAGTACTTGTAGTTGATAATCCATACCAGTAAGCAAATCACACCGATGACCACCGTGAGGCGCTCACCGAACTCATCCAGCTTCTTCTTGAGCGGCGTGTCATCGTCTTGCATGGAGGCCTCTTGGATCTGTGCCTGGATCTTTCCAATCTCCGTAAACATGCCCGTGGAGACCACCACCCCGACGCAGCAGCCATTGACAATGGTCGTCCCAGAGAAAACCATGCACTCTTTCGCTTGGAGCTCGACGTCGGCCAGCTCCACCGCCTGTGTGCTCTTGACCACCGCAGCGCTCTCACCCGTGAGAGAGCTCTGTTCCACTCGAAGAGTGGAAGTCCTGAGAACCGCGATCCTCATGTCCGCCGGTACCTTGTCGCCAACTCTAAGCTCCACAACGTCGCCAGGGACGAGCTCCCTGGCTGCCAAGTCGGGGATCCAGTGACCATCGCGAAGAACTTTGGCGTGCTCTGGTTGCATCTCCTTGAGCGCCTCCAGCGCGCTCTCGGCGTTGGTCTCTTGCCACACCCCGACCACCGCGTTGATGATGAGGATGAGGAAGATCACGAGCGGCTCCACGTACGCTGTCAAGTCCGACTCGCCGCTCTTCTGGCCGTCCAAGTAAGTGAGGAAGAAGGAGAGCACCGCGGCCACCAAAAGGATCTTCACCAGCATATCGTCAAACTGTTCTAGCACAAGCTTCCACATTGGCTTGCCGTTCTCCTTCTCGAGCTCGTTCCAGCCATAGAGCTCCCGCCTCTTCTCTACCGAGCTCTTGCTCAATCCGTGCGCCAGATCGGTGATGTACTCATCTACGCACCTTTCTACGCTTCTACTCCAAGCTGGAAACGGTGACTTCGCCGCCATCCCCATCGGAGAGTGCCTGGAATCCTGAGCTCTTCCTTGAGCTCGCGAATTCATGAGACTACCGATCGACACGTCGCGCTGCCCGAGGCGCCGATCGCCGGATCCTACAACCCTAATAGTCCAGCGCCCAGCGGTTACACCGTAAAGCTCCAAACCCTAGTTTCCGCCATAGCCAAAAAGAGATATAAGTTTCGAAAAGAAAAAGGAAGAGGAGGATCCATCCCGGTTGCTTCGGTGAAGGACTCGCCCAGCCTTTACACACAGGCTTACGTTGCCTGACGTGGCGGAGCTCCAGCCCTTACAAGTGCCACGCGGGCGAGATGCAACGCACTAACCAGTGTCAACGCTTTATAACGAGAAAGAGAGGAAGAAAGTTCGCGTTCAAATGGGCGAAAATAAAATTAGTAAAGGAGTGACTTTGCGAGCCTCAGATTTTTCCGCATCTCCACTCAAGATCCAAGCTCTCTTCTTTTTCGTTTTCTCGGTGGAGTGGTGTCGGATCTCCACGGCGCTGTTCTTGAGAAAAAGACCACTGCGGTGATGGAAAAGGCCAGCATAGTGAAGCTGGCCTCCTCGGTGGCGAAGCTTTTCATAGCTAGGAATCAAATCCCACGCCGTTCAATCCATCCTCTCTCTCATGATGCCTCTCCATGTCGAGACTCAAGTACCTCCATGTCGGAGAGACTCTCACTTCACTTCTTCTTCCTGTTGTTCATTTCATTGGATTTGTCAATCCTTATCACCACATTGTATTTTTACACCGGCCGTTATTCACGAAAGAAAACGAGAATGAAAATTTCGAGAGCGTCGACTTACGCTGTCACGGTTTGCTTCTTGCAATAGTTCTCCAGCCACCCCATGGTCATGCTCTTTGGCCTTTCAATTGGAAGACCAAGTGCGCGATCCCACACCAGCTGAAGGTACGATACAAGCAGTCAATTGGAGAGCTTGGAAGCACAATGGTAGTACCTGTGCAAGAACGCCTAAGGCCCGAGAGACGCCAAACAACACGGTATAGTAGCTGCGAGAAGAAAAGTAAAGTGGTCAGAGCCTTTTTTCCTTTAATGAGAAAAAAGAGAGGAAAAAGAGGAAAAACGTACTTCTCTTCAGTCAACCCGAAGTATTGTAGAAGCACTCCGCTATGCGCATCCACGTTAGGCCAAGGATTTTTCACCTGGAAGGGGGGCATTATGATTGCCGTGAATAGCGAGTATTACCTTTCCCGTTTCAAGAAGAATATCAGGCACAACTTCGTAAAGATTGGATACCTGTGATCAGAGTGTGGCCAAATGAGAAAATAAAGCAACAATTGAAGGCTACCATTTTGAAGATCGGATCGTCGGGCAGATGCTTTAGTGCAAATTCGCGCTGGCAAGTGTACCTAGGGTCCGTTTTACGCAGCACTGCATGTCCATAGCCTGGAACCACCTGTACAGCAGAGTTAAGCAACTGATTTTTTAAATTTTTTTCATTCCAAACAAAGCTGACCTTTCCACTATTCAAAGTATCTTTTACGTATTTTGTCAGCTTTTCCTTGGAAGCATCAGCTCCGATCGCTTCAACGGCTTCATTAATCCAACGCAACACTTCCTGATTGAGTTTCAGACTTCAGGCCAGAACACACGATGATAAACTCAAACCTGGTTTGCAAGACCATGCAATGGACCCGCCAAACCATTCATTCCGGCCGCAAAAGAAAGGTACGGGTCCGATAGTGCACTCCCCACCTAGAGATAAATAGTCATCAAGAGTATTTTTGGAGAAGATCACAAAAACTTACCAGCCGCACGGTATGTGCACTAACATTTCCTCCCTCGTGATCGCTGAAAGTCAATTACGCCATCCTCATTTCACGGCAAAGGAAACTGTAGCAGACTAACCTGTGAATAGAAAGATACAGGCGCATCAGCTCATACATTTTGGGCTCCTTAAAACCCAGCATGTGAGCAAAGTTGGCTCCATAATCCAGCGACTTGTTTGACTCAATCAGCTTGCCTCCATGGTATGTTCTGCAGCGAAAACATTTAGCATCACTACAAGTTGCAAATTATGCAAACCTTTGGTAGATGTAGGACGCTAGGCCTGGCAACCTAGCAATCAAGTTCATCGAATCTTCGTACACTGGTTCCCAAAACCTAGACACACCGCTCAATTATCAGGAATATATATAACTACGACTACTCACTTTGATTTGTGAATTCCCTTCTCATACGCCTTCTGAAACTCGCTGTCGGTCTGTAGCACGAGCTCAGTAACTGTTCTTGAACTATGTCAAACACTTACTTGCAAAGCCATAACTCCAGCAGTCAACTGTGTCATTGGATGCGCATTAATCGGAAGTGCATTCACAACGTCATACACATGACCTGAATGAAACACATTTCTGTGAGACAAGCAAAAAGATTGTAATCGAACTTGCCCGGAATGTCAGAACGAGAAGCCCAGTCTTTCGTCAACGTCGCAGCTTGTTCCTTACTGGGAACCTGAAGGGAACAATGTATAAGAAAGTCAAAACATTTGAAAGCCTAATGCCTTACCTCACCAGTAACAAGCAGCCAAAACAGTCCTTCTGGTATCGGTTCACCGTCGGAAACGGCAGCTGGAAGCTTCTCTTGACACTCTGGAATGGACAAGCCCCGAAAACGAATACCCTGTTTGCCAAGGACGCTGAAACAGCAAAGAACAAATAAATCCTTGACTACCTCTTCAGGATCGAGCAGGGACGTTTCCCAAAGCATGCCTTTAATCCCTCGCATTCCACCAATGGCCTGAAGCGAATAGAGAGATCATAGATATGACTAACTAGCTCAAACAAACGCATACCATATCGACTGTGGTTTGGCCGAGCGGAACTGATCCATGCTCCTTTTTCAGCTTTTTCAGTCGCTCCTATAGAGAAGACGATAGTGCTCATCTACCGCTTTCCAGGAAAGCTCAGTGACCTCACCTGTTCTCCCGGAATCAGTTCCGCCAGCCGCGATCGAAGATCCTACAAGAATTGCCAGCACAAATCACACGCCAGATCCCGAAATATCGCACGGGCAAGCGCCTACCGTCGTCAGCAATCGCCGAAACCACCAATGCGGAGCAATCTCGCAACCAGCCTGCACGGATCAATCACAGGAGCTAAGACGAGGTCGAGAGATGCGACGACACAGACCGAAATGCGGCGAAGCTTGGACGCCACACCGCGCGCTCTGCCGCCCATTGCCATCGCTCTTCCTCTGCCCCAACCCTAGCGCCTTCGTCTGACGCTTTTGATCTTTTTGACCTTGCAACGTGGCGCCGTACGAGCTAAACCCCATCTCCCCTGTTTTTAGGGCAAATGGGGGAGGAAGGGCCGCCGTGCTACCTCCCAGAGTTCGACGAGGAGGACGAGGTTTGTATAGGAGAGCAATGCTTCACTCGGCCGTACAGATTATATGTACCTCCAGTTCACTACAAGCGCGTTCGATCGCGGGTGAGCTAGCTTAGATCTAATGGATACCCGCATTTTCTTTCATAGGGACTAATTCCTCTTGCAGGAGTATAGATGGAAGCTGGGAGCGAAGATCAGCCCCGCGAATGGATTTCTTGTCAAGTTCCAGCGCGCTCTTGCGTTTCCAGATTGCTTGGGCTTGTGTGAGTGTTCTTTTCCTCCTCTTCTTTCAAATGGTTCTTACTTTTAGTTTGTAATCCAGCCGACGATGCAAGATGGCGATGGCAGTGGTGTCCCCTCTCCCTTGTCTTGGGGATCAAAGTGACGAAAGAGGACTGGAAAAAAGAGGACTGGAGAATGGATTCCCCGCGCACATTTGCTTATGCGAAGATCAAGCCAATGTCACTGTTTTGCGGGAAGCTAGGTACTGCAGCTTTTATTCTCCGAGTGGTTTGATCTTTCACTTTTTCCATCGTTTAGTGATTGAAGGGTGTTGGGCTGTGCAGCCCTGCGTCCTGTCGTCGAGCTTTTTCCCGTGCCTGCGCTGAGCATAACGAGAACGTTTGATGCTGGTGGTGGCGAAGCGAAACTATGTGCAAGCGTAGAGGTTTTGGGCATGATTGTTTTGTGGTGTGCTAAGTAAGGTGTTCTAGTTCTCTGACAGGTTAATGGCTCACTTGGACCTCAATGGAGATTAAAGCTCGACTGGCAAGCTGCAAATCTGGTAAGCAGATATTTATATTTGGGGAAACCATTGCCAACTTTTCTGCAGTTTAGAGTATTAGTTCAACAAGGAGAGGATGTTTTATCAATCCAGTACTCGAAGCGGATCAAAATCACAAAGACATGTCAAGCGGTGAGTTGGAAACTCTCGGCAGTGGCGATTTTCACTGGTCATAAGACTTGGTTTCCAGGTTGCTACTGGAGAATTAGATGTTCCATCAAATGCGTTTTGTGGAAATTTCGCAACCAGCTTGCCGGCTCGACTAAAAATCGCTTCTATCAAACTGTCGCAAATCTTAAGCAAGCGGGTACTTCGACTTTATCTTAAAAGTTTGTCTAGTGATTGTCTCTGTTTTGGCAGACAAAAAGGCACAAAGTACTACCTACGTCTACATACCTCAAATCCTCGCGTGAAATTGGTAAGAGTGACCGAATCACAGTCGTTCCAGGTCATTGGATAGATCCTGGATATGAACCTGGTGCTCCTGGCGAGCGGGAATTCAACCTTGATGTAAGTTACGCTGGTTGTAGTGAACTTCTAATGTTTTTTCTTTGTTCTCCAAGGTCGTCAATGTCTTGGAGCGACAACTTCGTCGTTATGGCTGGCAAGTTTTACGTCCTGATCGCGACGCTCCAAACCTCTCCTGGGAGGAGTATTTGAATTGGGCGTCTAGACAGGTAGCATCAATTGTTCTAAGATCAATCGTGTTTACCGTTCGTGTAGAGTTTGAAGGGAACGCCAGTTCTAGAGATTCACGGACAGGTTCGTGTTCTGGTTTTGATGATACGATTTCTCATGTATTTTTCGTACTGCAGGGATCGAACGCTGATTATAGAGGCTATGTGCTTGGAGTAATTGGCGACCCGGAAACACCTTTGGGTCGGGTATATTACTTCCCTCCTGCTTCTAGACAGTATAAACTCCTTGTTTTGCTCCAGGAACTTTCCAAGGACTTTGGAATTTTTGACATGGACTGGTCGGATCTTGCGGTGCCCTGTCGCGGCGGGATAATCCTCGAGAGCTTCAACTCGGACGAGGTAACCTGGAGAAATCATCTGAAGCTCACCATAGCTCACACCTTGTTTTGTTTGAGATCCAAAGGTTTTGGAAATGGCACCTTGGCATCGAGCTTGCGCTGTGAGGAGACTCGCCAACAGGATCATAACTTGCATCGAGCGAGCGAGCTACGCGAATCGAGGCGCTCGAGGGATGATCCACGAGACCCGGGCGGACGGCGGCGATTTGAGCACATTAGAATATCCGGAAATTTAAAAACGAATAGTTTAGAGAAGCTCCAGCGCTAGAAAGATCGATCCATGAATAACATATCCTTGACGAGAACAACACACACAAGATTTGTGGGTACGCCCCTCGAAAGCATGCCAAGATTGGGCGCCACGCCCTTTGGGCAGGTCATTCGCATTGTCGTCCTCGCCCACTCCCCTAGCTCTTGAAATAGAGAGAAAATTGGCGCGCCATTGCGATGAGAATCCTCCAATCCCGGCAGAAATCCACGATGCAAAGCTCCGCGCTGGTGCTGCTGCTGGCGCTGATGATCGCGCCAGGTAAGAAAAAAAGAAGCGAGATTGGATGATCGATCGATCGATCGCCCCAATCTTTCGCGCAATTTTTAAAATGTTTTCTCTTGAATCTTCTTCTTCTTCTTCCTCGCGCGCGCGCAGGGATGGGCGCCGACGAGACCTATCCCTACTCGTTCCTCCGCGACGCCGCCGACTCCCCGGTGTACGAGCAGTACGACTACATCATCGTGGGCGGCGGCACCGCCGGCTGCCCTCTGGCGGCGACGCTCTCCCGCTACTTCCGCGTCCTCGTCCTGGAGCGCGGCCCCTCGCCCTATGGCAACGCCAACATCACGCGCATCGAGAACTTTGGGCGCAGCCTCAACGACACCGAGGGGCAATTCACGCCCGCGCAGGCCTTCACGTCCACCGACGGCGTTCGCAACACTCGCCCGCGCGTCCTGGGCGGTGGTAGCTGCCTCAACGCTGGCTTCTACACGCGCGCCAGCCCCGACTACGTGCGCAGGGTTGGCTGGGATGCGCGCCTGGTTAACCAGTCGTATCCGTGGGTGGAGAGAGTGGTGGCGTTCGTGCCGCAGCTGGGAGCGTTCCAGAGCGCATTTAGGGCGGGGCTGCTGGAGACCGGGGTGACGCCGGACAATGGCGCCACTTTCGATCACATCTATGGGACCAAGACTGGGGGGTCGATCTTCGACCATCAGGGCAACCGCCACACCGCCGCCGACCTCCTCCGCTACGCCACCGCCAGGAATATACTCGTGCTCCTCCGCGCCAGCGTCCAGAGGATCCTCTTCGACACCTCAGGTAAATTTCTCCACTTGTTGTCATCGACTTCTTTCTCTCTGTCCGATCGATTCGATTGATTCGATAACTCCTCCTCGATTCTCTGCGATTGGCGTGAGCCACCGAAGCCCGATCTCTCAGATTTTCTCGAATTTCTTGCGCTCCAGTTGGGATCCCCTGTTTTCTTATTTTACTATCTTTCTCTTCTCGGCCGGATCGTCGTGTGTGTAGGTTACCAGCCGCGCGCGATCGGGGTCCAATACCGCGATGCCAACAGCCGGATGCACATCGCGCGCCTCAATTCCAATCGCCAGAGCCAGGTGATCCTGTCCGCGGGCGCCATGGGCAGCCCCCAGCTGCTGATGCTCAATGGCATCGGGCCGCGCGCGCACCTCGAGAGCATGGGCATCCGCGTGCTCGTCAATCTCCCAGGCGTCGGCCAGGGCATGGCGGACAACCCCATGAACACCGTCTACCTCCTCTCGCCCGCGCCCGTGGAGACGAGCCTCATCCAGGTGGTCGGGATCACGCACTACGGCAGCTTCATCGAGGCGGGCAGCGGCGAGCTCGATGGATTGAGCGCGGGCGTGCTGCTCGAGAAGGTGATCGGCCCCAGATCGAGCGGCCAGATGACGCTCACCTCGCTCGACGCCGCGGACAATCCCCAGGTCACCTTCAATTACTTCCAGGACCCGGAAGATCTCCAGAGCTGCGTGGAAGGGATCAACCAGATCGAGGAGATCATCCTCTCCAGCTCCATGCGCCGCTTTCGCTACGACGCCCAAGCTCTTCCCTCGGGCGGGACGGTGGCATCGCCGGTCCGCGCGGATTCAACGCTCCGGTCGTCGGTCAATGTCACGCTGGCCAGCTTCTGCAGGTCGACCGTACAGACAATCTGGCACTACCACGGTGGCTGCCAGGTGGGCAGAGTCGTGGACAGCGACTACCACGTGTTAGGCGTTGATGCGCTGCGCGTCATCGACGGCTCCACGTTTAACTTCTCGCCCGGTACGAACCCGCAAGCGACGGTCATGATGCTGGGAAGGTAAGTGAGATATTCGTTTTTTCTTTGATGTGATTGGTCTTCCAGGTATATGGGATTGAGGATTATTGCCGAGCGTATGCGCCGCTAGATAGGCGAGATTCTAGCCCTCCATTCTTTTAGAAGAAAGAAAACCGCGAAGCTATGTATCCGTTAAACCATTCGAACCGAAAAATCTTGGTCGCATCGTCTTCTCGCGAAGCCCTAAGGACGTGTGCTAGGGTTTCTCGATTCTCCGCCCAGGTATGATCGCGATGATCCCTCCATCGCTCGCTGGATTCCACCGCTGGTGCGATTGGCGGATCGCGCGCTAGAGCGGCCGCGATTGTCTCGCAAGGCAGAGAATGCGGGTGGGGGATTAGCTCTCCTTGGATTGAGGCAGTGCCAGAGAAGGATGCCAGGGTGAAGATTATGGCCAATGGTCGGGGGCTGATTGATATCCAGGATCTGTGCTCCAGTGCAGCTTCTCGCGCTCAGGGATTTGCTGCCAGTTCCTTCAAATGCATCGTGGCTCATGTCAAGCGCCCGCGATGCCTGGCGTCTTTCCTGGCCTGGAACCTGGGATTGACGGCGCTGGAGATCGCGCTCGGGGCAGCAACGTTTGAGATGTCGGCACCACCGCTCCAGAAGCAAATCGTCAAGGTGATCGTCTTCCCACTCTATCTCCCTCATGCGGTGGGCTTCGCAGTGGCTTGCAAGAAAGGATGCTTCGTTCTCCTGGGAAACTTTGCTGGGCTCTTCGGCGTCAGGCTCTACTTCACGGACAGGGGCGCGGAAGGCCTGAATTTCTTGAAGTCGGTGGTTCTTTTGGGGGCTGCTACTCTCAGGACGCTCGAGGTCCACTTTTGCAGCTGGATGGTGCGTAGATTTTTGTGCTCCGAGACCAGGCTGATACCGACGATCGAATCACTTGGGGATGCTCTGTGGTACTTCCTCGTCACCTGCTTTCTCTCGGCACCTTTCGAGGCAACCATAGCTTTGATCGAGTGTGTCGGGCGCATGGTGCCGTGGAAGGAGTTTACAATCTGCTGGGCAACATGGTGGCTGGGTGTGGTAGCTGCCTCCATCACGGTGTCACCTTTCGTTCTCCACAGCTTCGTGTGGCAGCCCAAGCCGGGGATGTTTAGGCCGGGGAAGATTGTGGAGATTTTTTTGGTCGGGTTCATCACCGTGCTGCTGCTGATAACAGTCTACACGCTCGTCATTCCTACGTACGTGAAGCCGCTGCCTTATCTTCTCTTTCCAGTCATCGTCTACAGTGCTTTCCGCTTCAACCGGATGGGATGGGCCTTCATCTTGTGCGGGATCTCCCTGTTTTGCACTTGGTCGACCGTGAAAAAGAAGGGTGCTCTCTACAATATCTCTGGAGGTGGCCCAACCGTGGAACCGCGGATTGTCATGCAGGTAGAGCTTTTTGTATCTGTTAGCTCAGCTGTAGCTGTGTCACTTGCGGCTGCTGTCAGGGAGAAGCATCAATTAGCTAAAAAGCTTGAGAAGCTCAATGAGGAGCTTGAAAGTTTAGTGCTCCAGAGAACGCATCAGCTCGTCAAGGCAAATGAAGAGTTACAGACGTCGAAGCAAGCAGCAGAACTGGCGAGCCAAGCCAAGTCCGATTTCCTTGCCAACATGAGTCATGAGATCAGGTTTGATTATTCGTCTCGTTCTTTTTTCGCAGTGCCTTAACATACTTTGTTTTTCCTGTACAGAACTCCTATTCACGGAATACTTGGAATGTCAGCGTTGGTGCTTGGAACTTCTCTCACAGATGAGCAGAAGGAGAACATGACCACCGTCAGCGAGTGTGCCGAGTTGCTCCTGCATATCATCAACAGCATTTTGGACCTGGGGAAAATCGAGGCTGGCCGTTTTGAAGTGGAGTTGATATCTTTTAATCTTCATCACGTCCTGAAGAGCACTGTGCACATTCTACAGCCGCGTGCGCAGGCACACAACCTTCGGCTGAGCTATGAAATCGACAGCGCTGTGCCCGAGTTTCTGGTCGGGGACTCGGGAAAGTTGAGGCAGTGCCTGTTGAACTTAGGTGAGGCGGTGGTATACACAGTGAGCAACTAACTCTGATCCTCCGTGCAGTTGGAAATGCTCTGAAATTCACACCCGATGGCGAGGTCCGAGTTGAGGTTTCGGTTCACAGGTTCGGAATGCAAGACGATTCGGTTCTATCGAGACTTAACGCCTCTCAGTGGTCAGACATGTTAGAAATGATGCTGGAAGTTACAGAGACGAGAAACCTTTTCATGCCTCAACACACGCAAGCTCACACCAAGTTTACCAACCGGGGGTCAGCCGACGAAGTGACCATTCTTTACAAGATATCGGATAGTGGGATTGGCATCAGCAAAAACAAGCTCAAGGATGTCTTCAAGCCCTTCACTCAAGCGGATGCTTCGATTTCTCGCTTATATGGTGGAACAGGACTCGGTCTCTGCGTGGTACAGAGGTAAGTTTTGGTTTTTCTAAGAACAATCTGGCTAATAAGGAAACTGCAGCTGACTTCAAACTCGTTAACAGCTGCGGCGATTTTGCAGATTTGTAGAGCTGATGGGAGGTCACATACTGGTGGAAAGCGAATATGGAAAAGGCAGTAGTTTTTACATCGTTTTGCCTTACCTCTTGAACAAGGAGGGCGCTGCCCAGGAAGCATCTGGTTTCTTCGCAACAGCTGCCTCCGTGACTTCTCAAAGTACGTATTTTTTGTATAGGCAACTTATAAGTATTCTGGTTTGTGTAGGAGCCGAGACTACGCAGGGAAAACCTGTTAGTACTGAAGTCGTAAGCTCAGATGCAGATGGTCACGAAGCCCCGGCACCTCGGGAATCTACGGACGATACGACTTCCCGCGTCATGGTCGCCAAGGATGGCACTCAGCAAGCTCCCAGCCCTGTGACTCCGAAAGAAGAAGTCACTCTAAGCGTCAAGGACCCGAGCATTGTACAAGAGGCAGAAATATCGGTTGACGTAACCAAGCGCATACTCTTGGTGGAGGACAACCTTGTGAATCAGAAGGTTGCGTCTAGACTCCTCCAAAAGCATGGCCACATTGTGACCGTTGTGGGGGATGGAGTCCAAGCGATAGCGGCCGTGGACGCAAACCGGGACAACATTGATTTGATCCTCATGGACATCCAGGTAGCTTGTTCTTTTCCAAGTTTCCAGTTTCAAGTCTTCTTTCCAGATGCCGATCATGGATGGATTGGAAGCAACTCGTAGAATACGGGAACAGGAAGCCAGGGATGGTCTGAGAAAAATGCCCATAATCGGGTTAACAGCGCATGCCATGCGTGGATACGAGGATACATGTTTTTCAGCGGGAATGGACAGTTACATGGGGAAGCCTTTTGAGATTCGCAAGCTTTTAGCTGCCATCGAGATGGTTGCCACTGGCAAGCAAGAAATCCACATCGACGTTCCGGAAGAATAAGTTTCGAGGAAGCCAACTTATCATTTATCATCTCAAGGATCCAGACAGAGGGAGCTAGCCTTTAAACTGATCCTTGGCGGCTCTCAACGACGCCAGCAGCTCAACCGGATCGCTCTCTCCCATATGGACTTGGAACTCCTTCACGTTAACACGCATGAAGGGATTGGTCTGGAGCTCCTCTCGGATGGTTGACGGGACCGTAGGCTTGTGATTCCGACGCTGCTCTTCCGTCCAGGCAACCTTCTGCTTAAGAGCATCATTGTGGGGATCGACAGACATGGCGAACTTCAAGTTCTTGGCGGTATACTGCAAGGGTGGATTCGAAACGCTGAGAGACGGAAAGTATACAAGAAGTGGAAGACAGACCTCGTGTCCGCAGAAGACTCGAGTAGCCGGAGGCAACTCGGCTAGAACTTCGGACAGAGAGTGGTACATATCCTGAGCTTTGCCTTCGAAGAACTTGCCACAGCCGGCGACGAACTGCGCAGCGCAAATTCTAAGACTACCAAGAAAGAAAAGACAGGAAGTACCAGAGTGTCGCCAGTAAAGACGGCAGGATCTCCAGACTTGTGGGTGACAAAGTAGCTGATATGGCCCTTGGTATGGCTACGAATGCCAAGAGCAGCTCTCTCAGCATCACAGACGAGAAGAAAAGAGAGGACATTTTACCATGGAGTGTGGAGGGCCTTGATCTTCACATCCTTGGACAGCTCAAGCTCCGCTCCGTGCTCCAGAGGATCCGTGCAGCCTTCCACATTATCCTTGGCACCACCGAAGACTTTGATCCCTGGGACGAGCTTCTTGATCTCGTTGTTACCTCCAGCGTGGTCCCTGGTAGAAAAGCTTTCTTGCGGAGGAAAGAATGGAAAGCTAGCTCTACCAGTGCTTGTGGGTGGTGAGAACCATGGTCACTTGGGCTCCATGCTTCTTGGCTGCCGATAAAACGCTCTCGGGTTTCACGGGATCAACCGCCGCTGCCTGCTTGCTCGCTCCATCGATTATCCTGATCAATCAATCCAGGGAACTTTCGTCAAAGCACTCACTCTCGAGAGCTTACAGATAGGCGTAATTGTCGTCCAAACAAGGCACCGGTATCACCTCCATTCTTCCTTCGTTTGTTCCCAAAGAGGGTTTTTCTCCTTCTCTTGAACGAGTCACGCTAATACAAATGGCACTGCCAGAACATTTCATCTCTTCTCTTAACAACAAAAAAGTCTTTTACGCGTCACAACAATCTTTCACTCTAGTGCGACACGCTCCAGGTCCCCAACCAATTCGTCGAACTGCGAAACCATGGTGTTAAAAGAGAAAGAGCTAAATTCTTGAGAGCATTACCTTGAGAATGTGGCGGACAAAGATCTCGCTAAAACGCTTGGTAACTTTCGGCTCTGCTATGTGTACAACATCCTGGACGAAAGATAAAGAAGAGATTTGAGCTCTCTGATGAGTGAGAATCAAGCGAGCAAGCAAATCCCAACCTCGTCAATGTAGAACTCGACGTCCGCGGTAGATGCTACGCTGCCATCGTCGTCAATGTAGTGAGTCTTGTGCTTGTAAGTCATCAAAGCCATCCTGCCAAGTCTTAAGTGCTGAGAACGCAAGAAGACAAACGAAATACAAGCTACCTCAGCGTGGCTTCGTCTACCTCCACAAGCGAGGCTAGCTTTGCAATAGATATCGTGGTGTAAAGCTTCACGTAGTTTCTGATCTTGTTCAGGAGCTGCTGCTGTCGGACTTCAGATAGAAAGAGCTTCAACTGCAGCCTGTATGCTTCCTGTGGATTCCAGGTGCCCGCTTAGAACTGAAAAGATACGAAAAAAGGACACACTTACCTGGCTGTAGTTTCCAGAGGTGTCACTCAAGTCAGGTAGCGATGGAGAGATAAACTTCGGGCAAGCGTACGAGAAACACTCGTCAAAAGCGGCCTCGTCATTCTTGTGCATCTTGGATAACTTCTCCCCACGCTTCTCCTTGAGCTGGTGAGTCACGGTCTCATTCCTCTGAGAATCGCTCCTCGCATTCTCGGACTCTACGAGGTGCCACTGGGGGCAGAACCACAGGCAGATCGCAAGCAACGCGTACATCTGCTCGTTCTTCTTGAGGATCCATTCAAACTGCGACGACTTCTGGTGGTACTGCCTCGTCTTGGAGATGTACACAAGCACCTGGTTAAAAGTCTTGATAGCATCGATGTACCTTGGTAGCAAAAGGAAGGTTTTATCAGCGAGGAGAGCTCACGCTCGAAAAACTCACCTCAGCATCATCATGTTCGAAAACCCGTAGTAGTACGCCGCGGTAATGTGGCAGCCGATCACAGAGCTGTATACTCCGTGCTGCGTGAGATCAATATGAGCGAGGCGCTTGAGAGCCGTGTGGTAATCCCCAAGCAAGCAGTGCACCCGCGCAAGCCCAATGATGCTAAAGTATCCCAAGACCTTGAGGACGTTGCTGCCACCCTCGTAGTCATATCCATCGTTGGCACTGAAGGCCGTCACCGCCCCGTCCTTCTCCTCCTCCAGGACTTGCAGAATCTCCGACTTGTCAATCAGAGCCTGGAGGAAATTCGCCACACCATAGACATTCCACACCTGCGAGAACAAAACCGAGAAGGAAGAAATCAGTGACACACTGAGGAAAGCTTCTTTGCTTCCAGACCTGTTCGTCGTACTGCTTGAGCCAGCTTAGCTCCTGCTCGGTCTTGTTCTTGAGCTTGGTCCGGTACTGGCAAAACGCCTGGAACTGATAGATGAACTCGTCCACCATGTCCCAGAGCCACTGGTTGGGCAGCTGCATATTCACGTTTCCATGGAGGATGACCGTGAAGAGGTTGCAGTAATTGTCCCAGGATTCCAGCCTCTCCTGGAAGGTGACATTGAGCTTGGCGTAGACGTGCCTGTAGTACATCTCCTTGTAGAGGAGGCAAAAGACGTGATCGTTGTCGACGTAGGGCGCCACGAGCTCCGCCGAGGGCCAGTGCGACTTGGAGAAGAAGCGCTCGCTCAGCTTGCTAAAGCTGCTCTCGTACATTTGGTGTACCTCGTAGACATTCTTCTCGCGGATGCTGCGGTAGAGGTAGCCGACGAAAGACTTGACATAGTCGGGGACGTAATCGGGCGGGTGCGCGTCGTCTGGCCGCTCGTCGTAAGAGTCCTCGTAGCCGCCATAGCCATCGCGCTCGTACCCAGCCGCCATTGCCCGCCCGCCCACCTTGCCCTGTGCCCTATCCACGCCTAGGGTTTACAGATTTACATTAAATGATAAATACGTTAGTATAGCAAGGATGCTTGAAAATTGACCAACCCTGTCTTGGAGTGTCTCAAACCACCTCCCTGGATTGTATAGTAGAACACCCCACAAATGCATAGTGGATTACCCTAGTGTTGGTTCCCACTTCCGTAGAGAGAGGAAGCTCATAAACTGGTTTACCGATCTGATGTGAGATCAATGCTCACTATGAATTGAACAGCTATGATGATCAGCTTCCCAATTTCGTCATCACTCCATCAGCATCTGAAAAGTTTATGTTTCCAAGGTTGAAAGTAAGTTGGAAGGAAGCCTTTATTGTTCTGGATGACGCTTGCCAGCACATTTTTCTCAAGTCCAGGTACTCTAGCTATGCCCCATCCGCTCAACTTTTTCAATCCTACTACACTTCGGCTGTATAAATTCTCTTGACAAAGCTTGAGCAATATCTTATACCTTCTTCAGCATCTAGGAAAGCCGTGTCCAACTTCGTCAGTCTTGCATTCCCCGTTGAGCTATCCAGCCATCTCATCATACTGGGCAAACTTCCTATCCACTTCATCCCAGCTATTGTCCCTCGCAAGAATCTCGTGAAAGTTTAAAGGGGGAGCGCATAAAAGCCTCCTTTTCTACTTCCTGTGACAACTGCTCACAACAGGTACAAAGCCCCTCAAGAAACAATGGTACATATCTGTCAACTCAGATAGTTGCTTGTCAGACTTCTATGCATTGCTGTATAGATTGAGTTACTTGCGTTGCTGTATAGATGTGTGTGGAACGTTTGGAGGTGCTGTATGCCCTGTATTTCGGCGAGTTTGCTCTCATGAAATTTCTCATTCTGTTGATCGTCCTCGCCAACACGGAGTTCCGTAAAGTGAAACCTAAAAAACCCTAATGCGGGGCCAACACGGTACACGTGGCAGATATTGCCACATCAGCGATAGTCTAATTCTTGTGGGGAGGAATCGATGGACGCCGCTGCGCGTGCGAGTCCTTCATGGGCTGCCGCGTGATGCCCGATCAAGTGGCGTCGGCCCTTGATTATGGAGCCATAACCTTGACAAAAAACCAAGAACATCTATATGATCATAGACAAAAGAGAGAACTTGATGAACAACATTCCTGTGGACCAAGTTGTTCTGGCGAGGCGCTGCTAAACGGTTTGGATCGAGCATCTGGCCAGCGTCTGGCGAGTCGGGAACGCGTGGGAATTGATGACCGAATGGAAAGTGGCTATAGCTTTGTCTCACACTGGAAGGTTCTGCCCCGGCTGTGGACACCTGAAGACGCTTGCGCTGTTCCGTGATCCATTGCGATGAAACTAAGTGCTCGACAACCTCAGCGGCTACTTACAAGATGATGGCTGTGTGAGCATGATTGACACAAAGAGTTTCACGTACGGGGCCCGAGTATTGAGATGGAGTCCTTACGTGCCGGAGATGAGCCAGTGTAAAGGTGACGTTTTGCCATTTTAGCGCTTCCACCATCCCGGTCCCTCTTGAAGGCGTCTCCTATAAAGTCACAAGTAACGATCTTATCGTTGAAGTGACGCTCTTCGTAAGCAGCAGTTTCTTGCACGTCTCCCTCATGAAACGAGTCATAGCCTTGCTCATTCACGCCCAGGATCCTTTTGTCGAGGCTGTTCTTGAGAGGCTGCCGGCGACCAAGATACGATGTGAAAAGGAACTTTCACCAGTATCATGTCTAGAGTCCAGTTGAATACCGTGCCGGGTTCGTTGAGATCCACTCCCTCGTTGTCCAGGAAGTAGAGCAATGGAAGAAGCCCTTTCTAGAGAATCTGCCTCCTCCCTGGAAGCCACGAGTAGTGTGCGCATCTATCTAGAACTTTGCAAGCGCACCTCCACGGCCAGGCGGAGCTCAGCTGGCTAACCACATTTATCACCAAGCTACCTTGAGAGCCGCATGCGTACTTCCGGCGGAGTGTAAATGGACGTAATGCGTCGGTGCAGCTGCTTGTTAAATTTGTGTTGCAAAGCCCATAGCTGCTGGAGGCTGTAGTCCTCAAAGGCTTTGGGTGGCATGCCCGTCTAGATACATTCCAGGAAGCATCAACAGTCATACGCCACGCTCCTGGCTTCCATCCGGTGCTTCTCGTTCAACTTACTCATAAAACTGGCGGTTTTCTTTTTTACTAGATGGGTATGAATTACTGGTACGCATCTTACGGGACTCACTGTGGACGCATCGTCAAATCTGTCGAGTTTAGGGCATACGACGATGCCCTCACCGCCTACAACGCCAACTGGGACCATCACCCTCGACCACAGCACGTCTGCACCTTGAGCCCCAAGTCATGTGACGTCTCTCTGCTCCCCAGCTCCTTCTTCGACATCGTCACCTCCTTAGTTTTACTAGGGCTTGGTCTACGCCCGGTGAAGCCCATTGCCGGTCAATCGGGCCCCAGTCTCGGCGCCACGGGCAAGGAGCTCGGAGGAAAATGCTGGCCCATTTTGTCCAATGTGTGTCAGCCATGAATCTCCATCCACTTCCAAGGAGAAATCCCCTCCCTGGACTCTAGTAAGTTCCCGTTTGCTACCATGGAGGAATCTTACGTTCCATTCAGGTTCTTCGCTTCAAAGCCATCAGTGTCACGATGGATCACACCGAAGTTGCTCCTGGCTATGATGCCATTGGCAAGAAGCTACTTGGATGCCTTCTAGGAGTTTGCATTAAGCTGGCTCGCAGCAAGATCAAGGTTCTCAAGGACGTGAGTGGCTATGTGATGCCGGGTTCCATGACTCTCGTTCTCAGTTCGCCAGGTTCGTGACCTTGATTTTCATTGTTTGTGACCTTTTCCTTCTAAACAGGCAGTGGGAAGAGCACTCTCCTCAAGGTAGCATGGTGATTGTTTGGAGATATGATGCTTTGTTTCGTATGCTACATTGGCTGTTAATTCTACAGACAGTGGTGATAACAGGTGATGTGAGGAAAGCTACGTCCCAACAGA